TCTCCACCCTTCTCACTACCATGTCATTAACAGCTTGGGCACAACAGTCTAACATATCTTGGCTCAAACCTTGGCTTTGCTACTTTGTAATTGTGTGACTTACACAAGTCAGGTAACTTCTTTAAATTTTTATTCTGTGTGTAGAATAAGTGTAATAGTATTGCCTACCTCACTGGGTTGTTTGGAAGATTAAATAAGAATCTCTTTCTGCTATGCTCCAGATCAATCTAGAAGGAGTGGCAAGAAACAGAAACACATTGAAGTTGGAATACAGGTGAGGGTAGCAGAGACTGCTGGTGTCCTTTAATATTTACTATTCCCTTCTTCCACAGAAATAAGACATTTAGTGCTTTGACTGATCACAAGGCTGACTTCCTTACTGATAGATATGGTCAGGTGACCAAGTTCTGACCAATGGGTGTAAATGGAATTATGTGCTGCTTCCAGAAACTGTCCTTAAGGAACATGATACCCCCTTTCTTTCTCCTTCCTCCTTTCTACTAGCTGGAATTCAGACAAGATAGCTGAAGCCTGAGCAGCCATCCTGGGCACCATTAGCTGGAAACCATATGCCATGGATGCTGTAATATCAGGAGAGAAGAAACCTGGGTCTCTGACCATTTCAGGGTGCTGCTCTACCAGTTATAGATTGCTTTCTTCTTGACTTCTATGTGGGAGGAATACATTTCTTTCTTTTTCAGTGCATTATTTTGGGCTTTCTGTCCCTCACACAACCAGCCAATCCCAACTACTATATGAGGGTTATTGAGTGGATGAGGTACAAGGACATACGCTGGAAACTAAATGTGGCTACACAGGAGTTGGATACGGAACTACACAGCCATTAACGGTCTCTCCTGACCCATGAGGTCTTTTGTCTCTGAGCTTCCCTGTGAGTATGCTCCTCTTGCTTCTCTACAGAGGTGAACTTCCTCTGCTTGCTCATCAGCAAGGCTGAAAACAGCTATTCAAGTCCTTAGCCTACGTGACTTTTTAGATTAAGTCATTTCTATCTTTGTATCTCTTAGTTCAAATTTTTGAAAGAGACAATTGTTTGTTGCTCACTGAATAGGCTGTGCCTGCCTCTTCAAAGTTACCTGTATTTTCCCCATTCAGTCAGCTGTACATGGAATAACGTTGAAAGTAGGGGTACAAATATGGCCTCTGAGGGCCTACTCTTTAAGCAAGATTTGGCAGAGAAATGCAAGTTCCAGAGAAGAAGCTCTAAGCTAGGAGAGCAATATAAAATGAGTCTACGGTTTAAGACCAATGCATTCCAGTTTTCTAGTGAACAATTCAGCTTGAATAACCCATTCATCTTTTCCTCCTATATTTCATAGTTAAAATCACTGTCAACAGTTTCCCAAGCCAGAAACCCAGGATTCATCCTTGACCCTCCTTCCTATTCATTCTACTCTGGTATGCAATCAGTCACTGAATTTGCAGTACTTCTTTCATCATTTTCTAATTCATCCTCTCCGTGTCTACTGCCTTAGGCTTGCCTCACTATTGGTTCAGTTTAGTGTAATAGCGTCCTTAACTGATGTTCCTGCTGCCAGGTGGCCCCCATCCAATCTGTTCTCAGCAAAACTCCACACTGATCCTCCCGAATGCAAATCACTTGCTGCTTAACCTTCTTGTCGCTTTCAGGTAGAGTTCAAACCCTTTAGCTTGGGACCAGATATTCTTCGCAATCTGGTTCCTCCCAGTCTCTCTAGCCTTGTCTTCTGCCACGCCTTGACATTAGCCATTCATGTCAGTATACTTATTGGTCCCCATCATGCTGCTTATATTTCCACAAATTTTGACATTCAAGTCACTCTGCCTGGAATGGTGCTGTGAGATCCCCAAACAAACATTTTCCCAGTGGATTTATTGAGACTTGATGATTAACTTTCAAATTCTGGTAAACTAGATCTTGAAGAAATAAAACTAAATTATAAATGCTCTGATATCTAAACTGTACCTAAAATTGCCCACACAACAAAGTACATAAGAATAATATTCTTGGCTGGGCACGGTGGCTTACGTCTGTAATCCCAGCACTTTGGGAGGCCGAGGTGGGTGGATCACCTGAGGTCAGGAGTTCAAGACCAGCCTGGCCAACATGGTGAAACCCCGTCTCTACTAAAAAAACAAAAATTAGCCGGGCATGGTGGCATGTGCCTGTAATCCCAGCTACCCAGGAGGCTGAGGCAGGAGAATCGCTGGAACCCAGGAAGCAGAGGCTGCAGTGAGCCGAGATCTTGCCACTGCACTCCAGCCTGGGCAACAGAGCAAGGCTCCATCTCAAAAAAAAAAAAAAAAAAAAAAAAAAAAAAAAATTCAATAAACAAAAACCAAAAAACTATTCTGTCCAAAGTAGATACTAAGTAAATGCTCATTAAATCTCTTAAAAATCCAATCTCTGGAAAGAAGTGCATCCTGAAATGGTTTTAGGCCTCCAAAAAACTTCTCGATGTAAAGAATAAAGTGGTAAAGCAAACTGAGACAAAGAATTTTAAACGAGAAGAGGTCAAGGATAATGGTTCTGTCTACCTGTTGTTTTTTCTCCTAGTAGGTACTCTCCAACTGCATTGCAGGGGCCAGGACCCTATCTTATGCCATAGCACATCTGCCTCTGAGCAAAGGCTGAGCTTTGGATTCCAAAGTCTTTGAGTGACGCTAGGGAACAAAGTACATAGCACGGCCACAAAAACTGAAATATCCAGTAGGTGACTTTTCACTGTAACCTTTCTTTCTTCTATCTTCCACTCCTTTCACACAAATATAATTTAAAACTCACACACATCTTAAATACAATACATATTATGCACAGTTTTTCAATTCCCAAATAAAATTAGTATACTTTTTTCAAAAGTTGAAAACAGTGTAGCAATGTAAAAAATGTTTAAAATATAAAATTAAGTGAAAAAGAAAGGCAAAATGTACATAACTATGTAAAAATGTACACAGCTGAACAAGACTGACACAGAACAAAAAAATGAACTATTGATGTGTTAAGACAGAGTTTCTCAACCTTGGCACTACTGACATTCTGAGCTGTTGTGGAGGCAGTTCTGTGTATAATAGGATATGGAGTAGCATCCCTGGTCTCTACCAACTAGATGCCAGTAGCATATCCCTAGCTGTGACAACTAAAAATGTTTACATACATTGCCAAATGTCTCACATTTGGCAGAACCCCACCCTGCTCCCCAGGTTTAAAACTGTGCAAGAGGCCGGGTGCCGTGGCTCACGCCTGTAATCCCAGCACTTTGGGAGGCTGAGGCAGGCAGATCACCTGGGGTTGGGAGTTCGAGACTCAGCCTGACCAACGTGGAGAAACCCCGTCTCTATTAAAAATACAAAATTGGCAGGGTGTGGTGGCCCATGCCTATAATCCCAGCTACTCAGGAGGCTGAGGCAGGAGAATCACTTGAACCCGGGAGGCAGAGGTTGCAGTGAGCCGAGATCGCGCCATTGCACTCCAGCCTGGGCAACAAGAGTGAAACTCCATCTCAAAACAAAACAAAACAAACAAAACAAAAACAAAAAACTGTGCTAGAATGACAGGAATTTATTTTTTTGAGACAGGGTCTCACTCTGTAGCCCAGGTTGGAGTGCAGTGGTGTGATCATAGCTCACTGCAGCCTCAACCTCCCAGGCTCAAGTGATCCTCCCACCTCAGCCTCCAGAGTAGCCAGGACTACAGGAGTGCTCCACCATGCCTGGCTAATTTTTTGCATTTTTTGTAGAGTCAGGTTTTTGTCATGTTTGCCCAGGTTAAATTTTTTTAAAATTTATGCCTTGCTATTCAATAAATACATATTAGAAGAGTAAAGGAAAGGAAAGCCCCTTGCAATATAGCATCTAATATACTCTTTTTTCAAGAGTTAGGGTTTATCCAGTTCCAATTTTATGTGCAAGATTGAAAAGGCTGCAGAACTTGTTTTTGTTTTCTGATCTGTTCTAGAGGAGAAAGCTGAATTTCTCAATATTTAAAAACTTGACCTGGCTCTAAGCATGAGACATCACAAACAACTGCTTCGATTGGACTGAGAAATCAAAATATCCAAATCATCGTAGCCCCAAACAGCTGTTTAAAATGTATATGTTCTGTATATCCTCAAAATAGGTTTACTTTTAAACCTGAATACTGAAGAAGAAATAGTAAGATTCAACAAGGAATGCATATTGTAAGACAAATTAAGGCAAGCTTTCCAAGCAAAAATAAAATTGCACTGGATCTAAGTTAATCTTATGCCATATTTAAGGCCCTCTGTTCCAGTCTTTTTAGAACTATTGTGTCTGCTCCCTTGCCAAAAATATTTATTTTCAATCACTCTTTATTGTTTTGTTTCTTGGCTTACGTCACAAAGAATGTTTTCTGATTCAGAAATTGTCAGGAAAAGAAGGCACAAGTACTGTTTCAATTCAATTATCTCCTCTCCGGAAAATTACATCATATCCCCAATGTTGGGTTCGTACAGGCTTAAAGTTGAAATCCTATCTTACATGATCATTTTGAATGCCCTTTTCACATTGATAAACACATCAATAAAATTTAATTAAACAAGGAACAACCTTCTTTCATTATATAAGCCTGAAATGGGTCCAATACTGCAATTTTGATTTTTTTTCCATTTTCAAAACACACTAGGCCTGCAGTATTTAATGTTTATATTTACCAATGTGCACTTCTCCTAGTCTCTAGTTTACCCAAGACTGAAAGGTTGCCATAACGCAAAGAAAAACAAAAAATCTTCCCAATGACTGCAGAGCTGGAGAATGCGAAATACGTAGGTACACAAAGCATTGCAGCAGGAATGCAGAAGGAGGTGGTCTATAGATGACAGAGGTGGTGGAGACAAATGGACATTCAATAATGTGCAGCGTTAACAGGGAAAGGTTAAAATGGCTGTGAAATAAGCAGGATGAGAAGAAAACTGGTGCTTGGAGTGATGAGTGAAGTGAAAAAAGTTGTAGCTTGAAAGGCAGAAGGTAACTGACTTCATGACCTCTGATGCTGAGGATACAAAAGGCCTCCAAATCTTCATCGGGATTCAAGGTTCTGCATGACGAACATCAGCCAAAAAAAAAAAAAAAAAAAAAAAAAAAATCAGAACACGGTAGTTCTTTGTTCGCGGGCCTACACGCAGGGGAAAGCTCCGCCTCCGTGGACTTCATAGTGGCCTGGACCTTCGGGCGCTGTCTGTCCAGGGACGCGTCTCGACACCTCACCTTTAAGTGAGAAAAGGAACGCCGACCTACCTCGCTGAGGATGTTCTAAGCCCGCTCTAATAATAGGCGGCAGCCTAATACTAAATGCTTGTGGCAGCTGGGTCCGGGGAAAACGGTTAATTCTCCTTCAGGCGGAATCACTGCAGCCAGGGGCTAGAAAGGCCGGGCCAGGAGGGTTTCCCCTCCTGTAGTTTCGGGCCATGCTGGGGAGAAGCAGAAAAGGCCCGGAATGCGGAAAAGAGGGGAGAATGGGTGCTTTCCTCCTTAGGGCTGAGGCAGGAACCTCAGGAACCAAGTCGGAAATTTTCCTGCGGAGGGTGCCGCGAGGGTCCCGGGGTCGCTCGGCCCCTAGGCGCCCAGCTGCCAGCGGCAGGTGCAGAAGGAGACCTGGGCGTCATAGCAACCGCGCTCGCCACAGAGACGCAAAGGGGTCCTTCCGGCGGGAACCATAGAGACGACGCACGCCAATGGCGCCAGAGACTGTGCTTCTTGTGGAGACTGTTATTACAGCTCATACCATTGGCCTTCGGCTCGGGGGCGGAGTTGTCCCGGCCGTATCGACAGTACAATTCATTCCATTGGCTTTGGAGACAACTGTAACCATGGTAACGGCATGTCGCGCGTTTGCGACTTAGCGAATACATTTTGTCTTGGGGCGTTCTAGTTCTCAAAGAGCTTCCCGCCAGGCCTCAACTACAGCCCGTGCCTACTAAACTTGGATTTATTTTTATCTAAGTTCCTTCATTCTTAAAGGGGCAGGGAGTGCTAGCTCAAGAGTTCTGAATTTTAGGCCTAGAGCGTGTCACTAGCCACGTGGGGCACGCAAGATAAATCACAATTTTTGGACCGAGCTTATTATTGTAAAAAGGAAGACACTGGGCTTGACTAGAATTATGCCTAAGGCTGAAGCCCTTTAGAAGTCCTAAGCACTGAAAATTCAGGTAAGGTGAACTTTATCTCCCCCACCTATGTAATGCAAAATAAAAACTTATAAATGACACAAAATTTAACATACTCAATTGATATCTTTTTAGATGCCTTTATAGCAGAATTCAAGTTAACTATCAAAACTCGATTTTACTCATGTTTTGGGGGCCCTTGCTTTGCTGGTATCCCAAACACAACATTTCTTGGTTTTAACTCTAGTTCCCCAAGAGGATACTTTCCAAATCTTTGCTGGTTCTACATGCATTATCTGGACGTATCTTACTCTTTATATAATAAAGTGCCTCAACCTCTCCTTCTGGCACTAGACCTCTTGCAAGTGTTTTTTCTGAACTAAAATGCTCACCAGTAGCACTTGTAGCCCACTTCACTCCTGTTTATCAGTTTAAGTATCACCTACTCAGGGAGACATTCCTTGATCCTCCATCCAAGATCAGGTTCTTACTTACCCTCATTGACTCATGTTCCTTTTCTTTATACACTTCCATTTGCTGTTAAAACACACACACACACACACACACACACACACACTCTCTCTCTCTCTCCCTCTCCCCCCCACCCCCCTGGAATTTTTACTTGTGTAAATATCTTTTTAAGTGCTCTGAATATAAATTAAACTGAAGTGGAAAACACTAAATAATTTCATGTAGAACACTGATTGTTTTTAAGTGTTAACAAGTCAGGATATAAAATGATTCCCAAGGGAGGTAATAATTATGGTAAAGACAAACATTAAGATCACTTCTACTTTTAACCCCACATATGCCCATTGTACATTCAAAGATTATGACAGTCATCATCCACATGAAGCTATGAATGCAGAGAAGAACATATTCTACTACTTGCCCTTCAGTACTGCAGCCACTGACAGAGCCCACTGCTTTTGGGGTTTTGCAAATTGGACCTGAAGTTCACTTAAAAAAGTTGTCAAAGGAACCTGGGTAACATAATAAGACCTTGTCTCTATGAAAAATAAAATATTTAGACGGGCATGGTGGCACACGCCTGTAGTCTCAGCTGCTCAGAAGGCTGTGGCAGGAGTGCTTGAGTCCAGGAATTCAAGATTACACTGAACTATGATTGGACTATTGCACTCCAACCTGGGTGACAAAGCAAGACCTTGTCTCTAAGAAAAAAAAAATGTTTGTTCAAAGGAACTGCTGCTTCCAGAACAGTCTTGACTGCTGCAGTTATTTTTCTTCTGTTCAAGGTCACACTTCCTGATTAATGAAGTATTTCAGCCTTAGAATTTGTCAAATCTTCTCAATTAAATTTATTGTACTTCTATTATCAGACAGACACTGGGGCTACCCTTCCCTACTCCATGAAACACCATGAATTGTATTTTAAGTCAAATATTTATGTGAAACACAGTACCTGCTTCTACCTTAGTCATTAATGCTAATTTTTCAAATTGTACCCTGGACTATACTACAGATCATTTAGGGAATTTTTTTGCACTATGCTACTTGTGCACTCCCAACCCAAAACCCAGGACAGCAAGAGATGTATTCAAAGTTTTTCAAAGATTCTCAAGGATTCAAAGATTAAGGAGGGCACTGGTGTAACACTGCTTTGCTAAGTGAGAAAAACAATAATTGCAACCATTTAGTGAGTGTCAATCAAGTGCTAGGCACCAGACTGATGCTTTTTGTTTGCTATTTCATTTAATCCTCACAATAAATGGCATTACTTTGCAGAGAGATTATCCCCATTTTATGCATGCGGACACTGAGATTAAGTCAAATGCCTAAGTTTATAAAGCTAATAGGTGGCACGGCTGGCTAAGTTGACTCCTAGCCCATACTCGACCACACTGTAATGCCTCCCTCAGGACAGAGATCACTAAGTGGCCCCTGCCTGGTCCCAGGTGGAAGGACATATTAAGTTAACCTGAAGAGCAGTCCTAAAATACTTGAAATGTAAACTGTTACCCTAATATGAGGTGCATCTACAATAAGAAGCAAAAAGTAAATGCAGTGAAAAGCTCATCATTCTACAATCTATCTTCAGGGAGGTATCCTTCTTTCCTACTCCTATGTTTGATAAATTTCAAACAAAACGAAACATCCTTTCCATTGGGTCAACTTTTGGACACACACTTTATTGCACTTAATTTTTTATACATCCATTTCCTAAACAAGACATGTTTATTCATCTTTTTAATCCTCATGGCTCAGCACAGGGCCTGACATACATAGGCATTCAACCAATATTTGATCACCAAAGCATGACCATTCATGCATCCATAATCCTCTTTTTATAGTATAAAGATGGCTGATATTCAGGCCCCCATGTATATTTTAAGGAATATGTAATTCCCAATAAGCTCTTCTTTTTAAAGGTAAGAAACAGTTCTAGTGTTCAATTTCAAAATCAAAGTAACATTCAGGTGAGTGTATCAGGTGTCATTAAAAGACAAAATACCAAACCATATTTGCCTGCATACCACTGCCTTTTCCCTTTCTTTCATTTTCTCTGTCCATATGAAAGCCACGGTTTTATTATAGTTTTCACCATCTCTAAGAGCCCTGAACAATTTTTGATCCTGTAAGGGCTTTTTACTTCAGTTTTTGTCACCTATAAAAGCTGTGTGTCGAGACTGAAGATTATCCACTATCTTCTCTTCTATCTCTATGCCTTTTTCTATTTCTTCCTCTGATAGCAATAACTTGGTTTCCGAGTCTTTAGTTACAATAAACACAAAGGACTGTCGTGACTCAAGGATATTAGCCACCACCACTTGATGCTGATAAACTTCCAAAGCCTTCCGAGCTCGATTAATTACAATGGCGGGGTCAGTCTCCAACTTAAAGGAAATTATAAATGCTTTGGGAGCCCAATCTTTAACCAAAGGAGAAAGCAGTTTTGGCACCATCTTCATTGTTATCTGTATTGGAAAAAGAAAAGCTTAATAAGCAAACAATGGCCATTATCTACCAGGTCAATCTCATGGGAAACTACGGAAACTAAGGAATCAAATTTAAGTGGGATTTCTCAACTATCAAACTTTTCAATTAAATGCTTAGTTTAAAAAGCCTTAGGGGAACACAGTGGCTTGGCCTGTAATCCCAGCACTTTGGAAGGCCAAGGTGGGTGCATCGCTTGAGCCCAGTTCAAGACCAGCCTGGGCAACATGGCAAAACCAGGTCTCTACCAAAAAAAAATAAAAAAATTAGCCAATCATGGTGGCACCCACCTGTAGTCCCAGCTACTCAGGAGGCTGAGATGGGAGGATTACTTGAGCCTGGGAGGTTGAGGATGCAGTGAGCTGTATTCGTGCCACTGCACTTCAGCCTGGGCAACAGAGCAAGACTTTGTCTCAAAAAAAAAAAAAAAAAAAGCCTTGGTTCTGTAGAGTTCACAGGGATGCCTAAATTCAAGGCTCCATACATATTCTGGGGCAAACCATGTCTTCTGAATAAGCTCTGCCCTGCTCTGCCACCCTTACCACCATTTTTGAGGGTTTGAACCAAACCCTCAACTAAACAGATACAAAGAATCTGTTCATACAAATGTTTGGCAGAAGCCGAAATAAAGTTGGGTTTTTAAACCTCTCAGCCTAAATATTTCTTGCATTGGTAGAATGGCTCTTAGATTCCATTTTAAAATAGTCACTTGTAACACAACTTAGCAGTGAGGAAACTGATTTTATTTTCACTTGACCAAAACTCCTAGTACCTCATCCCCAATCCCTTCTCAGGGTAATGTTCAGTTGCTTTGTTACTTTCAAGATAGAACTAAAAACTATGAGATAAACTAAAGATCCCAGAGATTTAAAAGTGTGAAATCACTAAGCTAATCATCAGAATTTCCCCTAAAAAAAAGCTGTTAGTGTGATAGGGATCATATACCTGTTTATTTATACTTTATTTTTCTCCTTAGCATTTATCACTACCAAATGAGGTATGTATTTGACTTAATTTATTGTCTCCTCTGCAGAGGAAGCAACACAAGGGCAGGGTATGTTTCTTTTCACTGCTTTCATCTCCAGGTCCTACAGCAGCGTAGGACCTCAATCAACTATTCTACAAAGTCGGCAAATGCTCCACAGATAAGAGTTTCTCCTAATAAAATCCTACCTGTATCACCCAATAAATGACTAAGAACTCCCGAAGGTTCCAAGAAGTCAGATCACCTAAAATCACAACCTACCTTGTCCATATTTCTTCCTTAATCTACAATAGCCCCCAACTAATCTACCCACTCCACTTTCTCCCTCTCTGGCTTCATCTTTCATACTGATGCCAGAATATTGTTCTCAAACAAAAACTTTATCTCATTCTCCTACTTATGTGTCCCTTAGCTCCACAAGAAAAAGTCCAAGCTCCTTAAAAAAGGAAAACAAAGTCTTCTACAAAGCAAGCCATCTCTTCGGCCAGCTCTCCAGCCTTACCAAAGCACTTCGGTTCACAGCCCACTGCCCACTTCCAAATTCCAAGTGCCATACTCCACTTGGAATGACCTTTCCCATTTCGTACACCCTCTGCTCATTTTGTTTTGTTTTTTGTTTTTTTGAGACGGAGTCTCGCTCTCGTCGCCCAGGCTGGAGTGCAATGGCACGATCTCGGCTCACTGCAACCTCCGCCTCCCGGGTTCAGGCGATTCTTCTGCCTCAGCCTCCGGAGTAGCTGGGATTACAGGCGCCTGCCACCAGGCCTGCCTAATTTTTGTATTTTTTTAGTAGGGAACGGGTTTCACCATGTTGGCCAGGCTGGTCTCAGACTCCTGACCTCAGGCGATCCGCCCTCCTTGGCCTCCCAAAGTGCGGAATTACAGGCGTGAGCCACCGCGCTCAGCTCTGCTCATCTTTTAAAACCCAGTTCATCTCCTCCAAGAAGCTTCATCGACTCCCCCAGGATTCACTCGCCCCATGATCTGACTGCACTTTGTACATACCTCCACTAGAGCATTTATCACTCTGTATTGTAATTATGTCTGTGTCCAGCTCCCTCACTAGATTGTGAGGTCCATGAGGGAGGGCGGTGTCTTATTCATCTCTGTATCCCCTGTGCCTAGCGAATACAGATGCAGAAAGGCCATCTCCAGATCAAGAGGAAATTAACCCAAGATTGGTTATATGAGATTAGATCTCTGGAAGAGAAGCGCCCATCACCTGCAGTGGGCCCCCAGATGACTGGATCTTGTGTTCAGGCATTTCAGAGACAGGAACATAGAAATCTGACACAGCCGCAGCCAAGTAAAACATCGCAGAAGGGCCTGCAAAGAGAAACACAAGGTGTAACAAATCGGCGAGGTACGGTATAGGATCAGCTTCTTGTCAACTCGGGTTCCCCAGCTGAGATCCGTGGGTAAGCGAGAGGCAAGGGGATAAGTGGCTGCAGAGAAAGGCTGTGCTTCCAGGCAAAAAGGGTACTCCTAGGGCACGCACCTAGCGGATTAAGTGCCTGGGCCGCAGCCTGCAACAGATGCAAATAGTCCGCCAAAGTGGTGAACTCCACCGCCAGGAAGGTGCCTGCAGCCGCAGCCTCCTGGTAGCATCTCAGAGCCGCAGCAAAACCCGGAAGTGCATTCTCCTCGGCCTCCAGGCTCAGCAAGCCCGAAAGGGCTGGGCCCGAAGGCCGCAGAGCGGACAGCCAAGTCTGGGGTGGGAAGCGGTGGGCATAGGGGAAGGCGGAGCGAGCGCGATACAAGAACAGGACCCCGTAGCCGGCGGCTAGGAAGACCTCGGCCGAGGTTGCACCACGCCGCCCGCTGCTGAAGTTGTCCAAGAAGCGCACCGGCCGCGCTTCCAGTGGGACCTTGGTGCCGCCTGACGTGACCAACACCACCCGCCGGCCCTGCGCGCCCAGCCTGGCCGCGAAGCGAGCCATAACCTCAGCCCAGCGCGCAGCACCGGGAGGTTGGGGGAACTCGGCTACCGGGTCCATTTCCGCCATCTGCCCCGCAGCGGCCGGCGCCTGCGCACGCTCCGCGGCAGACGCGCCACGCCCCTTTTCCCCTACCTGGTGTAAACGCCGGGCCGCAGTGAGCGGGCGGTTCACTACCCTCGTTTTGACACTAGGTCCCGATCTCGCCAAATCTGGAAATGCGTAGTTGTTCTGCCCCAGAGCCCAGCGAAAGTGACACTGCAACGAGGGGGATCCCCGGCTGCGTGGGCATCTGGTAGGGTCACGCTCCTTCACGTTCGTTTCCTAGCCTGGGTGAAGAACTGGCCATGTTTGACCCTTACCGGCCACTGTACGGGCCTTCATGGACTTGGACTCCTTGGGAGTCGTTTCTCGGCCATTTGACCCGTAGGACTTGTGGGTTTTGTGCTTCTTTTTATTTCTTTCTTTCCCTTTTTCAGCTTCAGCGATAGACCCAAATGTTAGTCGAGTCACGTCCCACCGCCCTCTGCCCTCGAAATGCTGCCAAGTGCGCGGGCCCGCGATTGTCACGTGACGCCGGGGTTCAGCGTATCCTCGCCGGGCAACCGTCTTAGAGACCAGCATCTCTGGCTGCAACATGAATGTGATCTATCCACTGGCGGTCCCCAAGGGGCGCAGGCTCTGCTGTGAGGTGTGCGAAGCCCCAGCTGAGCGGGTCTGCGCGGCCTGCACAGTCACTTATTACTGGTAGGCCCTGAAACGTGGCACCTGGGCGCTTTAACTCCCTCCCTCTCTCCCATTCCTGGGTCTGGCTTGGGTATCTTGCGTTAGCCGTGGCCCCTGACTCTGCAAGGGATGCCTGAAAAACAGGGGCTTTAAGACAGGCCCCTAAGACTCCCGTGGCCTCATCTGCCTCATCTCCCACTTACTCATTCGTCATTCATGTTTTCTGAAGGCCTACTATGTGTTACGCACTATTTTAGGTGCTGAAGTTACTTTGGTAGCTCGGTAGATCAGTTCCTTCAAAGATCTAACATTCTAATGTGGGAGACAAATCAGTAAAGAAACAGGCCGGGCGTGGTGGCTCACGCTTGTAATCCCAGCACTTTGGGAGGCCGAGGTGGGTGGATTACCTGAGGTCAGAAGTTCGAGACCAGCCTGGCCAACGTGGTGAAACCCTGTCTCTACTAAAAATACAAAAATTAGCTGGGAGTGGTGCTGGGCGCCTGTAATCTCAGCTACTCCGGAGGCTAAGGCGGAAGAATCGCTTGAACCCGGGAGGCGGAGTTCGCAGTGAGTGGAGATAGCGCCACTGCACTCCAGCCTGGGCGAGGAGAGTGAGATGATAGTGAATGGGGCAGTGTGTGGAAAGCTTTCTCTATGGAAGAAACATTTGAGCTGCGTTTTGAGAGGACAGTCAGAACCTGCTGTGTACAGCAGTAGTGAAGAAGGATAGGGCATTCCTGGCATCCGGGACTGCTAGGGCAAATGGCAAAAGAAGAGAGTTTGCTAACAGCTGAGTGGAGAACATAGTAGTGGAGGGAGCAGTCGGTGATTTTGAAACTGCAGGCCAGGGCCCTTTAGCAGTTTATGAATAAGTCACAACCACCATTTAGAGAAAACAACAACAACAAAGAAGAGCATAGAATGAGTAGAACGTATCAGGTTAATCCTACCTGAACTGTTTCTTGAAACTTTTGTCTTAGTGTTTTATGTGGGTGTGTGTACAGGGAAAACGTATTTCTTACTATAGGTTGAGTCAAAATTAGCCAGGTGTGGTGGCACACACCTGTAATCCCAGCTACTCGGGAGGCTGAGGCAGGAGAATTGCTTGAACCCGGGAGGCGGAGGTTGCAGTGAGCCAAGATCACTCCATTGCACTCCAGCTTGGGCAACAAGAGTGAAACTCTGTCTCAAAAAAAAAAAAAAAAAAAAAGTTGGAATATCATTGTGATAGGTAGTAGAAGTTTAAACCAAGAAGATAAAGGTTAGGGCCAGACAGTGACATGAGATCAAGGGTTTGGAATTTATCCCCTGGGAAACCATGGATGGTTTTGAGCTGACATACTCTCATTTGTGTTAACGAAAGAGGATGGGCTGCAGTGTGGAAGATACAGAGGAAGGTAGACACTGCCGGCTGCGTAACAAATTAAGAAGCTGTTACAGTACCTTCTCATACTGGCCTAGGTGTCCTTCCTCAGTGCTCTGAAAGCACTGAGTATGTTCCCTATCCTAACACTTAGAACATGGACTGAAATCATTTATTTATTTCCTTCATTAGGCGTATGCCCCACAACGGTAGGGATGGCATCTGTGTTTTCATTGCTATCTCCTCTTTGGTGGCTTCATTGCATTTAGAATATAATTCAGAATTTGTAACAGAAAATACAAGGCCCTGGCTATTTCTCTACCTTTACTTACCACCGCACTCACCCCATTTTTTTCTTTGCTGTAGTTATAGAGAACTGAAGTTCTAATTTGCTAAGTCCTTTCTTCCCTCTGTTTCTTTTCCCGGACTGTTCTCTCTGCTAGGAACCTCCCCTTCAACTACAAGCCTTCCTGGCTCTCTTTCATCCTTCAGTTCTCAGTTTAAATGTCGTTTCTTCAAAGAGGTCTAAACCCAGTCTCAACTCGCTGTCATACTTTTCTCACTCACAGTACCACTTTTCTTTGCTTTTTCTGTACTTTTATATTTTTGTGTTTGCTTATCTGATGTCTATGTCTTTTACTAGGCCCAGTGCCCACACATACCAGACACTCAATGAACATCTGTTGAATAAAACTAAATGGATAATAAACCCATTAACTTGGGCAAGGAACACAGGGGGAAAAGATGGTGGGCGTCAGATTTGGTTGTGGGCATAGAGTTTGAGAGGCCTTTGGGTCACCCCTGGAGAGATGACCAGTAAACAGCCGTGAGTAAAACCTGCCACTCAGGCTTGGGAAAGATTCAACCCTTTTGCCTGGTGTGAGCACTGACTTTTTCCTTAAAACACCCCTGTCCTCTTTATCCCTCCAGCCGGAAGTAATTCCTTCTTCCTCTGAACTGACTTTACAGTACTCTGTATCTCTCAGATGACTCATCTCATATTTCCCTTCATTTTAATTGTTGGTGAGTGTGTTATTTCAATTTTGTTATGCTCCATTAATGCTAGATACTACGTTAAATGTGTACAGAGGGACTATCAAGTATGCTAACTTTTGATCTATGTCTGACCTGTCATTGTATGCCCCGTAGTCTCTAGCAAAGTGTCTTGAAATCGTTGGCATTTGTGCTTTTATTCCTTGGGCCAAAAAATAAAAAATAAAAACATGAAAAAAAGAAAGAAATAGTTGGCACTAATATCTGATGAATGCATGTATGAATTATCATCTTCTATGCCCTTCTATTTTTTTTCTTTTACTTATTTTACTTGCTTTTAATTCTCTTTAAGACCTTCTCCTTTTGTTTTTTTGCTTCCTTTTCTCCAGATTTCTATGTCTTTGTGTCTTGGAGTTTTCAAGATTTTTGATAAAACAAAACTGAGGTCGTTGTTCTGTAGGTTTTGATGGTTGAATGTAAAGCACCTAGTACCCTGCCTGGAACCACATTGGCACACAGTAAATGTTCTTTTTCATCATCCCAAGTTTAAGGAGCAAGAAAGTCAGTTTGAATTTGTGAAAGTTTTTTTCTGTAAAAGAATTTTTTTCCTGATTATAAATGCAGTTCATGCTCACTGCAGAAAACCTGAAAATAGAAAAAATAAAGAAGAAAAATAATCCATAATCCCACAACCGAGAGATTAATAACCTGAAATTTTGATGAATTTCCTTCCTTTCTCTGAATACATTTATTTTATATATTGTGTGTAATCTTGTGCATATTGCTCTATAGTGGGTTACAACCATTCTCAGAGAATAGCACATTTTTATTTACTTAGAGACACAGTAGAACTTTTATTTTTTTATTATTTTTTTGTGACAGAGTCTTGCTCTGTCGCCCAGGCTGCAGCGCAGTGGCACGATCTCAGCTCACTGCAACCTCCAACTCCCAGGTTCAAGCAATTCTTTTGCCTCAGCCTCCCAAGTAGCTGGGATTACAGGGATGCGCCACCATGCCTGGCTAATTTTTTTGTATTTTTAGTAGAGATGGTGTTTCACCATATTGGTCAGGCTGGTCTGGAATTCCTGACCTTGTGATCCGCCCTCCTCGGCCTCCCAAAGTGCTGGGATTACAGGACATTAGAACATTTTTAAGAAAAGGTAATTTTATGGAAGTATATACTAAAACATTGGTGACAGGTAAAAGAGACTTCAGTATCATAGGTTTGCATGAATTTAAATGTCTTTAGTCAGGGCATACATTCTGTGATTCACTACAAATACTGTTGCTTCCTGTTCTTGAATACCACTTCACCGTTTGTTTTTTCCTCCTGGCCAGTGAAGGCATTTAAGTTTGTGCTCCATATGTCAAACAAAAGGAAAAATTGTTGCAAAAAATGTTGCAGATTACTAACAAACAGTGAAGTGGTATTCAATAATAGGAAGCTATAGGATCAGTGGTGAATTGTAGAATGAATGCCCTGCCTAAAGACATACAAATTCAGCTTAAAAAAACATGATAATAGCCGAATAAAACATGTCTGGCTCACAAGCTACTTAATCGTGAGCCCCAATTGAAAGCATTTATCCATTCCTACTTTATCCCTGACCCTGTGTTACGAGTGGGACAGATCAATAAGCAGGGAGCCCGCAAATATATAAATAAAGCTCACTTTGTTTAGAAAGGCAAAATATGTCAGTTGCTCTCAGTGGAACAAAAGTTCAGGCATCTAAGTTAACATTTCCATTGCTTACAAGCCCCACTTGATAAATTCCCTGTGGAACTCAGCTATATCCTGGCTAAGTGCTTTTATTGATCTGTTTATAATAATTCTCTACCTCCCCAAAAACATTTTTAAATGGTTTCTGTTATTTCTTTGGTAGCAGTCACAACTTATAAAGAAAATACTTCAATTGCATTTCTGTTGTCCAAGAAGGTGCTTGAACATGGCTGTATATTGTCTGTGGCTGCTTTTGTGCTACAACAGCAGAGTTGAGTAGTTGCAACAGAGACCCTATAGCTCTCAAACCTGAAATATTTATCTGACCCTTTACAGAAAAACTTTTCTGACCCCTCCTCTAGATTATTGTTACCTGTTTTGAAATATGTATAAATGGAATCAAACAGTTAACTCACATTTAAGTGAAAATGTGTAATAAGCAATAGAAATGCAAAAACTCATAATTGTATGCATCTAACAACAGAGCCTCAAAATACATGAAGCAAAAACAGACAAAATTAGAGAGAAAAATAGACAATTTAATAATAATAGTTGGAGACTTCAATATCCTACCTTCAGTGATGAACAGAACTAGATGAGAGATCCAATATCCCACTCTTAGTAATGAATAGAACAACTAGATAGAAGATCAAATATCCCACTTTCAGTAATGCATAGAACAATTAGACAGATTAGCAAGGAAATATCAGACTTGAACCATACTATAAACCAACTAGACCTAACATATCTATGGAACACCATTCAATAACAGCAGAATGCCTATTCTTCTGTAGTGCATATAGAACATTCTTCAGGATAGACCCTATGTTAGACCATAAAGTAAATCTCAATAAATTTATAAGGATTGATTTCATACAGAGTATGTTCTCCACCTACATGGAATGAAATTAGTAGTCAATAACAGAAGGAAAATTGGTAAATTTACAAATATGTAGAAATAACACACTCTTAACCAATGAGTCACAGAAGAAATTACAAGGGAAGTTAGAAAATGCTTTGAGATAAATGAAAACAAAAACAACATACTAAAATTTAGATGCTGGCAAAGCAGTACTCAGAGGGTACTGTATGAATTTAGTACTCATATGAATTTATACTAATATACATTACATTAAAAAGATCTCAAATCAGTAACCTAGCATTTCATCTTAAGAAACTAGAAAAAGAAGAGCAAATGAAAACATATTTATAAACTCCTTTATGTACAGCCCTGTGTTGGGTATAGACACAAGCTAGCAGAAGAAAGGAAAATTAAAGATTATAGCAGAGATAAAACAGAGAATAAAGAAACTACAGAGAGAATCAATGAGACCAAAAATTGGCTCCTTGAAAAGACCAACAAAATTGACAAACCTTTAGCTAGGTTGACTGGCCTAGAAAAGAAGATTCAGATTACTAAAATCAGAAATGAAAGTGAAGACATTACTACCAACCTTGCAGAAATAAGAGAGATTATAAGAGAACACTATGAGCAGTTGCATGCCAGTATCCCTGTGTGACTTCAGAATGTGAATGTGTGCCTGCAGAAACAATATGCCCTCCAATCCCAACACAGTTTATACACCATCAAATAACCACATGAAAAAAAAAAAGAGATTTGAGTCTCAGAAATGGCTTTGAGCTCCCTGCCTGGTTTGTGTTTGGCTTACTTTTCTGGTGTCTAGGGATAGGTCAGTAGGAGGGTTAATGCAATCTTAAGTCATGCCAGATATAAAGATCATGAAGTCTATGTTTCTGTTGTCAGTGGGGTGGTACATCAGAAAGCTGACTGGGACAGCATCCATGAGAAAATATGTCAGCTCTTGATTCCACTGCGCACTTCTATGCCCTTCTACAATTCAGAGGAAGAACGGCAGCATGGCCTGCAGCAGCTGCAGCAGCGGCAGGTAGGGCCTACAGCACTTTCCAAGGTTAAGTCGTAGGTGCGGTGAAGCTGCCCAAGACAAGGGTCGAACGGTGTTGAGATCACTAAATTGTAACTTCACTGAGGGCAGAGACTTTGTTTTATATCTTTTTAAGTCCTCAGTACCATTCAGTCTGTTGTTTTCCACATTTACTAAATACTCACTGTATTAGTCTGCTAGTGCACAACCAAATACCACAAACTGGGTGGCTCAAACAGCATACATTTATTTCCTCACAGCTCTGGAGGCTGGGAAGTCCAAGATCAAGGGGTCAGCAGGTTTGGTTTCTTCTGAGGCCTCTCTTCCTGGCTTGCAGATGGCTGCCTTCCTGCGGTATCTTCACGTGGTCCTTTGTGTGCAAGCATCCCTGGTATCTCTTTGTGTGTCCAATTTCCTCTTTTTATAAAGGTACAAGTCAGATTAGATTAGAGCCTACCCTAATGGCCTCATTCTAACTTAATCACCTTTCTACAGGCCCTAGCTCCAATTATAGTCACACTGTGACAGACTGCAGGTTAGGGCTTCAACACATGAATTTTGGCGGGGGACACAGTTGAGCCCATAACATCCACAGATGCCAAGAGCCTGGCCATGTCGTAGGAGGGTTAAGAATGATGTATGGATATACTACTGAATAAATAAAGGAGGTTAGCAAAACTTGCCACTATTATGTATAATGTTGAGTATTACTGAGTATTGAGCATCTCAATCACTCTAAAAAATTAGCGCCTTATTATAAGCCATAAATCCCTAGACATAAGATCCATCCATTTTAGTGTTATGACACTTTGATAGTGGCCTTAGAACAATGCAGAGTTAAAATTTTTTGTGATGTTAGCTAAACAGGATAATTCTGGAAGGGAAAATGAGATGTTTCTCTCAAAATTAACTCAACTATGAAGGCAGAAAGTTTCCGATTATCCTGAGACATGCTAGCTTTGCTAAAGTAAAGTTGTATTAGAACTATAAGAATAATACTCATTTATTCATCTGATAACTCTATATGGAATGTTCATCTATGTCAAGCACTGAACTAAGATAAAAAGACACATGTTCCTGGGCCTTAAGGAACTCATAGTCCAGAGTTTACCTTCTTATATCACTTATGTGGGGCTTCACATCCACTCTAATACAGGGAGGCTCACTATGTGCCCTTAACTGGGTCATTAGGTGTTGGCCTTATCCCCAGGGCCATCTACATCCACCTCTGCCTTTAACTTTAGACTGTCTCAGATAGTCTGTTTCTCTCTTCCACAGAAGTATTTGATTGAATTCTGCTACACCGTAGCCCAGAAATACCTCTTTGAAGGGAAACACGAAGATGCTGTACCAGCAGCTTTGCATTCCCTTCGCTTCCGCGTGAACCTGTACGGCCTGAGCTCTGTAGAGCTTGTGCCTGCTTACCTGCTGTTGGCTGAGGCCAGCCTTGGTGAGTGAAACCGACTTGAGATCCCTGGATCCCTTAAGTGGTGCTATGTTTGGGTCACACCAATGATCGAAGAGTCACCCTTGACAGTGGCACTAAGACACCTATTGTAGAAGGAGCAGGGTTGCTGTAAAAGTTTAGCACAAGGTAGGGAAGGAGATGTCACAGACTTTTGTCTACAACTGGCAGAAATCCACTCAAGCTGGCCTGCACATAAAGGAGGAACTTTGTGAGGGTACTGTAGTATCCTACGGGAGCTGAGGCTTCATGAGGGACTAGAATTGGAATGCTGTAAGGAACCAAGGCTGGTGTCTTTCATTCTCTCTCTTGGGCCTTGTCTCCTGTCTCTACTTCTCTCTGGGTGTCTGCTTTGCTATTTTCCCTCTCTGCAGACCAGATTTGTCTACCCTATGCTCACTGTAGAAGACAGCTACCCCAAAATGTCAGATGGCGTTTTTCAATTTACATGTTTTCTCGGTTCAAGGTAGGCAGTAGAAACTAATTAGCTTCTGATTTCCAATTACAAATTCGTAGAAGACAGAATTTTGTTGACATAGCTTGAGTGTGGGATCCACCTTTGTTCCCTGGGATCAGAGTCACATAGTTCAGAAATATAGGAACCTACCCCTATAGATGGGAGAGGCAATTCTGAGAGTATGGAGCAGACTTAGCAGACACCCTACGTGGTGGCTACTACAAAAGGAAAACTGGCATTTTGAGAGGAATTGATATTTTGAGCAATGCGGTGTTTTAGGCACTGTGCTACGACTTCATATATTTTAATAGCTACCGTTTAAAAAATGCTTCATATGTTTTAATAGCCACCATTTAAGAAAATACTTTTTTAAAAGTAAAACTGTTAAAATTAAGTACAGTATAAAGAACTTTTATCCCCTAAGTTCTCTGAGAGTAAGTTGCCTTCCTGGTTCCCTATCATTAGAATACTTCAGTGTCCCCTTAGTAAATGAGATAGATTGTATTCTGGTTAGGAAGGAAAATGTCTTTGTGGGAACCACACAAGGGGACCCTGTCATCTAAGAAGACCCTATGCAAGTTTCTCAGATTTTCCCAATAACATCTTTATAGCAAAAGGATACAGTTCAGGATCACACTTTTCATTTTGTTGCCATGTGTTGGCAACAAAACTCTGGAATAGTTTCTTAACCTTTTATTGACTTTTATGACCTTGACACTTTTAAAAGTTACAGGCCAATTGTATAAAACATCTCTCAGTTTGGGTTTGTCTGATATTTCCTAATGATGGGGCTCAGGTTATGGATTTTTGGCAAAAATAGTACAGAGGTGATGCTCTGTTCTCATCCCATTCTATAAATTGGCATGTTTTCATTTTTTTTTCATTACTGATGATGTTCATTTTAATTACGTTATTAGGATGGTGTCTGCCAGGCTTCCTCCCTGTAATGTTACTCTTTCCCCCTTCTGTAATTAATAACCTTAATTTTCATCTCTTGGAGAGGTCCGTTGAAACTATATAAATATTCCATTCGTCATCAAATTTTCAGCATATTTATTTAGTTATTTATATCAGTATTGCCTCTTTATTCAGTGGGCTTAAATCCATTACTATCATTAATTTGATGCTCAAACCGTCCCTGATTTGACCAGTGACAGCTCCCACTCAAGCTGGCTTCTACATCTCCTAGATACAACCCCATTTGTTCTTTGCTCACTTTCCTGCTTTCTGGAACATACCTCTAAAGAGCCCTGATTTCTTTCAGTGGAAAGTGAAATTCAGAAGCCAAAAGCTGTGCACTAGATGTACTCATGCCATTGGGGTGTTACTGCTCCCAGGCCTTCTCAGTGGAGTTAGGGAGTAAGTTTACATATAATAATGGGTGTATGTATACACACATTACATCTGTATTTATTTCTATATGTATATATCTTTTTTTGGGGGGGGCGGGGACCGAGTCTCACTCTGTCACCCAGGCTAGAGTGCAGTGGCGCAATCTGAGCTCACTGCAGCTTCCCCCTCCCTGGTTCAAGCAGTTCTTCTGCCTCAGTCTCCCAAGTAGCTGGGACTACAGGTGCACACCACCATGCCTGGCTAATTTTTGTATTTGTAATAGAGACGGGGTTTCATCATGTTGGCCAGGCTGATCTTGAACTCCTGGCCTCAAGTGATCCACCTGCCTCAGCTTCCCAAAGTGCTGGGATTACAGGTGTGAGCCACCGTGTCTGGCCTATATCTATATATCTACATCAATATCTGTATGACCACTAGTCTATACTGTTTGATCCAGATCTAATACAGCACCACAGGGTTCAATCTGATTTACTCCCATTCCGTAATTGCAACTCTCTTTGCTGACAGCTTTCACTTTCATTAGTTTATTTATATGTTAATCAGTTCCCCTGTATGAACAAATCCCTGCTCTCTAACTCCATCCTTTCCACCTTACAGATACCTTCTCCCCCTCCATGGCCTCTGACTCCCCATTCCAGGCTGCCTCTGCTGTGTGGATCCCTTCTCATTTGTGGGGGTTCTGACCCCCGATACCAGGCTGTTTGCCTGCAGGAATGCCCTGCTTACCCTGCTCAGGTCTGACACCCCATTCCAGACTGTCTTTCCTCCAAACTAATGAGAAAAGCACTGGACAAGAAAATATAGCCCAGGTTCTGTTTATCTCTGATACTGGCTAGCTATGGGATTCTGGAAAACTCACCCTAGCCCAAGTCTCATCATCTCTCATCTAGACCACTGCCTACTAACTGGTCTCCCCACATCTTCTCTGGCCTCCCTCCAATCTTGTTTGCATACAGAAATGTGACCCATCACTCCCTGAATAAAGATCATATTTCTAAAGCAACCCATGAGGCTGTGCTTGATCTAGCCCTTAGCAGGTTCTCCCACATCAGTTCTATCACCTTGTCTCTCTTGGATTCTTTTCTCCCTCCTTTCCGGTTACACTGACCAGCCTTCTCTCAGTTCCTCAGAAGCATGATGATTTCTTTGTTCGGAAAGGCTTTTCTGTAGCCACTCTCTCTGCTTCTCCTCCTCTTCCCTTCACCGAATTAACTCCTCATCATCTTTCAGGTTTCAGCTCAAGGGTGACTACCGCCTTGTCTAGAAGCTTTCCCAGGGCTCCAGACCAGGTTGGGTCTCCCTTTTTTTTTTTTTTTTTAAGACAGAGTCCCAGTCTGTTGTACAGGCTGGAGTACAATGGCCTGACTTGCTCACTGTAACCTCTGCCTCCCAGGAGCAAGTGATTCTCCTGCCTCAGCCTCCCAAGTAGCTGGGACTACAGGCACACGCCACCATGCCCAGCTATTTTTTGTATTTTTGGTAGAGATAGGGTTTCACTATGTTGCCCAGGCTGGTCTTGAACTCCTGACTTCAAATGATCCACCCACCTCAGCCTCCCAAAGTGCTGGGATTACAGGTGTGACCCACCGCACCGAGCTGGGTCTCTTTTTTAATATACTCATTTAAAGACCTATTCCTTTCTTCTGAGCACTTACTCCATTAATAATTGTATTCATTGATGAGATTATTTAATTGTCTCCCTGCTCCAGTAGACTGTAAGCTCAGGGAGAACTGGATCTGTGTCTGTTCTTACTCATCACGGATGTCTTCATGCTCAGCCCAGTACTTAGCACAGAGAAGGTACTAAAAAAATAATTTCACAGTACCTGAAACCTAGTGAGCACTGTGTAAGTATGTGTTGAATCTGAGTTCTCTTAACAGGATTATTTTAAGGACGAAATGAGTGTAATGACCATGAAAGTGCTTTGAAGTCTGGAAAGTGCTGTCTAAATGGAAGATTTCACTGTAACTTCACAGCCATTGGTTTAAAACCTTGCTAACCTTTTTGGAAGTCTAAAGAAATCACTTTCCTGTATACATGTTTCTTTCCCATCTTAGAGATTCCTTCAGACTGGAGTGGACAGATAACAGATATTCAGCTTTATTTTTCCTTTTTAGTAAAACTTTGAAATTTTAATCAACTAGAAATGACATTTTCAGTAACACTTCAAGGAGGAGCCACCTACTCATCTTCTCCCACTGTTACCAGCGCTTTGGAAGCAGGAGAGCCTGGGTTCAAATATCAGCTCTTTCTTTACTGGCTGGGTGATCGTAGGCACCAAGCTCTTCCTCACTCAGAGCTTTCACATATATCTCCTTCTGCCTGGGATGCTCTTTCCTTTCTCATACATGGCTGGCTTTTGACCATCCTTCAGGTGTCTGCTTCAACTGGCCAGGTGTGGTGACTCACACCTGTAATTTCAGCACTTCGGGAGGTCAAAATGGGAGGATCTCTTGAGCCCAGGCATTCAAGATCAGCCTGGGCAACATAGCAAGACCTCATCTCTAAAAAAAAAAAAAAGAAAAGAAATTAGGTGGGCATGGTGGCATGCACTTGTAGTAGTCCCAGCTATTTGGGAGGCTGAGGTGGGAGGATTGCTTGAGCCCAGGAGATGGAGGCTGCAGTGAGCTAGGATTTTGGTTACTGTGTTCTGTTCATTTCCTTCACAGCACTCATGTTTTGTCTATTTATTGTATGCCTACTTCACTTGATTTTAAGCTTCTTGGAGTCAGGGATCATGTCTCAGTGTGCATTGAGCGTCACACATTGTGATAATCAATCAATTAGGTGAATATATGGTTGGTTGAATGAATGAATGAAGTTGCCTCCTCTTTGAATTCCTCATCTGATAATTATTTCACAGGGCTGTTGGCAGACTTAGACCACAGATGCAAAGGGACTAGCACAATGTTGGGCAAATAACAGGTCTTCAGTAAGTGCAGATTCCCTTTTCTTCCCCTGGGCACCTCACAGCCACAGCCTTTGACTCAGCTGTGACCGCTGTATGCTGCATTCCTTCACTTTCATCACCAAGTCCTGCAAAATCTTCCCCCATAATATGTCCCAGATCTGCCATTAACGCAGTGTAAGCCTGTGGCCTCACCCTTCAGACAAGTACCACTGGTCTGTAAGTGGCTGTCCTTTCTCAATTCCATGAACTATTAAAATCACCCTAAGGGATAGTATCACTTCCTTTATGTCTTCACCACCTCCACTTCACCCTATGCCTCTCCAGGCAGGCATTGTCCATAAGAGGCAGGCCTGAACTTACACACTCACTGGTCACAAGCTTAGTTCTGACTGTAATCTCATGGGCTAGTAGCAGTCCATTCTTCTCACCTTACTCTCTCTCTCTAGTCTCACAGTTTATTCTCCCAAGTATGCCTTTTCCTTTAGGACTGATGCTTGTTTAGCTGCTGGTTCAGCTGGGCCTTGGAGTCTTCCTTCTTTGGCATTGCCTCCTTGAGTGAGAACTGGATGTTGAAAATTTTAAATTTCCAATATCTGTCAATGCCCTATACCCTTTTTTTTCCCATCTAAACAATCTTAGTTAAGAGTCATTTGCTTCTTCAAATTTGAGAGGACTTCAGTCTAAACCTCATATTTTATAGACAAAGCCTGGAGGGAAGATGTGACTAGCCATGTTCACATGAGCCAGGATCAGGGACTAGGCCTCGAACTCCTAATCTAGTAGTTTCCCATTTTAGTTTGCCCTTTGACCTTCTATCAGGTAAAGTTACTTGGTTCTTCTTGTAGACTGCTTCCTCTTCATCTCTTTTCCTTTTATTCAGTGATGTAGGGTTACAACTAGAATAAAAGCATGCTTACATATGAACTAGGCCTGACAGGAAGGACACAGAGGAGAAGAGGGTTGGCTTATGAGGGGTTCATGTCCTTATCTCCTGACCCTTCATTGGTGTGGTTTCTGCTGCAGCAGCTGTCACACCAATGCTTCACCCCCAGAGCACACCTCCTGCCCTGCAGCATGCTGACGTAGTGGCTTTCTATTCAGTTCCGACACATTTCCCTAGGAGCCAAGCAGGTAGGCAGGCCTCTGTATGTGTAAAGATGATAGGTAATAAACAAAAAGCTTTAAGTGTCAAGAGTATCTGAATATTAACAATAAAGGTGGCTTTCCTTTCTCTTACCTTCCACATTACTTAGTAACCGTGTGTTGTCCGTTCTACTTCCTGTCTCTTTTGGATTGCCTCCTACTTCCTTCACTGTCTTGTTTCAGGCTCTTAAGCGTGCTTGCCCAAACTGTTTCAGACATCTTCCAGTGAATCTTCTACCTTTATTCCTCCCTTCTGATCCCTCCTCCACATTGGTTCCAGAGGAACTTTCTAAATTTAAATCCGATTCTCTCGCCCTTTTTGAAAATCCTCTAGTTTTTATCCACATGCATCAAGTTCCTTGGCATAACTCACTAAGCCCTCCATGACTTGCCCCCTGCCTACCACCGTAGCGTCATTTTCTGCCACTCTGTCCTTCACAATTTGTGCTCCAGCATCACAGGCCAATACAGTTGGCCCTCCATATTTGCAGTTTCTGCATCTGCCCATTCAAGCAACCATGGGTCAAAAATATTTTTAAAAATAACACAATGATTAAAAATGATACAAATAAAAACAATACATGATGTTACTTGTGGGCTTATAAACAAAAAAAGAAAAAATTTAAACTTAAAAAAGACAAATGATATAGTAGAACAACTATTTACATAGCATTTACATTGTATTAGGTATTATAAGTAATTTAGAGATGATTTAAAGTATGAGGAATGATGTGCATAGGTTATGTGCAATACTGCACAACTTTATATTAGAGCCTTGAGCATCCTTATATTTAGGTATCTGATGGGGGTTCTGGAACCAAATCCCTGCAGCTATGACTCTGTATAGTTCTATGAACATAACATATTATTTCATATTTCTGTGACATTGCACATGCTGTTACTTCTGCCTGGGATGCTCTCCCTGCCTTATCTACCTGGAAAACTTCTTTTCATCCTCAAAACCCAGCTCAGACTCTGCTGCAGTGTCACTCTCATCTCATCTGTAGAATTAAACATTTCCTATCCTCTGACACTTCCAAAGCTTGTGTTTCTACTGCAATTATACTATATTGTAAATATATTTGTTTTCATGTTGCACGTTGAATCCCCATTCACTCAACACAAGACCTGGCAAATAAAGGGTATTAAATATGCATATATATATTTCACAATTGAGATATAATTCACATATCATAAAATTCACTCTTTTAAAGAACAATTCAGGCCAGACGCAGTGTCTCACACCTATGTTCCCAGCACTTTGGGAGGTCAAGGCGGGTGGATCACCTGATGTCAGGGGTTTGAGACCAGCCTGGCAAACATGGTGAAACCCTGTCTCTACTAAAAATACAAAAATTAGCCCGGCGTGGTGGTGCATGCCTGCAGTCCCAGCTACTTGGGAGGCTGAGGCATAAGAATCACTTGAACCCTAGAGGCAGAGGTTGTAGTGAGCCGAGATCGTGCCACTACACTCCGGTCTGGGTAACAAAGTGAGACTCTGTCAATAAATAAATAAATAAATAAATAAATAAACAATCCAGTGGTTTTAGCACATTCTGTAGGTTGTGCAACAGTCACCATGATCTAATTCCACAACATTTTCATCACTCCTGAAAGAAAGCCTGCAATTGTCAGCAGTTACTCCCTCTTAGTGCCTCCCTTGCATTGGACCCCCTGTGGTTGCTTGGCCACCACTAGTCTACTTTCCGTCTCTATGGATTTGCCTGTTCTGGACATTTCATATAAATGGAATCACATAATATGTGGCCTTTGGTGTCTGGTTTCTTTCACTTAGTGTAGTGTTTTCAAAGTTCACCCACATTATAGCAGGCATCACTACTTCATTCCTTCTTATGACTAATATTCCACTCATGGAGATGGAGATGGAGATGGAGATGCCTCCTTTTGTTCATCCACTCATCAGCTGATGGACATTTACATTGTTTCTGGTTTTTTTTTGACTCTTCCAAATAAGCTGCTATGAACATTCCTGTGAGAGTTTTTGTATGTCAATAAATACTTGAGTCAATGAATACATGAGTGAATGGGTAATGACTCATATTTCCTCTTGTGTTCTTTGACCCAGATAGGAATTATAACCTTCTTTTCTGCTTTTGGGCAGGTCTGGGCCGAATCGTTCAGGCTGAAGAATATCTATTCCAAGCCCAGTGGACAGTCCTCAAATCAACTGACTGTAGTAATGCCACCCACTCTTTACTGCATCGGAACCTGGGACTTCTCTATATAGCTAAGAAAAACTATGAAGAAGCCCGTTATCATCTGGCCAATGATGTAAACAAGCTAAGTTATAACACCTGGATATTTCCAAAATCTAAATTATAACCCCTGTATATTTCCAAAGTCTGTTTTATTTTTTTTAAAACTGTGCATTTGTCTAAAACTTTCTGTTTACAACTGATTATTCGGTGGGATGTTAGCCATAACACAATTCTAATAACCTGAGATCAAGCATTTCTACTTCCTAGCTATTCAACCTTGGCCAGGTCACATATTCCTGAAGTTTCAGTTGCCCTGAAGAGTAAAGGGAGGCAAAACAGCACACTCGTTAAGAGAAGGGCTTTGCTGGCCGGGCATGGTGGCTCACGCCTGTAATCCCAGCACTTTGGGAGGCCAAGGTGGGCAGATCACCAGAGGTCGGGAGTTTGAGATCAGCCTGACTAACATGGTGAAACCCCGTCTCTGCTAAATATACAAAATTCGCTGGGTGTGGAGGCATGTGCCTGTAATTCCAGCTACTCGGGAGGCTGAGGCAGGAGAATTGCTTGAACCTGGGAGGCAAAAGTTGCAGTGAGCCGGGATTGCACTCAGTCTCCAAAAAAAAAAAAAAACAACAACAAAAATTAGCCAGGTGTGGTGGTGTGTGCCTGTAGTCCCTGCTGCTCGGAGGCTGAGGTGGTATGTGCCTGTAGTCCCAGCTGCTCGGGAGGCTGAGGCAGAAGAATCGCTTGAACCTGGGAGACGAGGTTGCGTTGAGCCAAGATCACACCACTGCACTCCAACCTGGGCAACAGAGGGAGACTCTGTCTTAAAAAAAAAAAAAAAAAAAAAGAATTAGCACAACCTCAGATTCCGTAGCCTAGCTTTTTAAACACACACACACACACACACACCCCTTTATTGATATATACCAGAAAATTCACCCATTTTAAGTGTACAATTAAATTATTTTTAGCAAATTTACAGAGTAGTGCTACCATCAGCGCAATCAAGTTTCAGAACATTTCCATTACCCTAAAGAGATCCCATGTATCCATTTGCAGTCATTTCCCATTCCTGCTCCAGCCCCAGGCAACCACTTCCTGGTTCTACAGATTTGCCTTCTCAGGACAGTTCGAACAGACAGAATCATGAGTGGTCCTTTGGCTCTGACCTCTCTCACCTAGCATGATTATTTTGAGATTCATCCATGTCGTTGCATGTATCAATAGTTCATTCCTCTTATTGCTGATTAGCATTCCATTCCTAAATATACCACAGTTTGTCTGTCCATTCATCAGTTGATGGATGTTTTGGTTGTTTCTATGTTTTGTGTATTTTAAATAATGCTGATATAAACATTTATGTACAAGTCTGTGTGGACATTCGTTTCCATTTCCCTTGGGTAGGTACTTAGAAGAGGAATTGCTGGGTCATGTAGTAACTCTATGTTTAATTTTTTTAGGAACTACCAAACTGTTTCCACAGAGGCTGCACCCTTTTACATTCCCACTGGCAATGTGTGAGGGTTTCATTTTCTCCATATCCTTCCCAACACTTTTTATTTTCTGCATTTGATTCTAGCCATCCTAGATGCAGTGATATCTCATTATGGCTTTGTTTTGCATCTACCTAATTACTAACTATGTTAGCATCTATTCATGTGCTTATTTTTCATCTGAATATCTTTTTGGAGAAATGTCAATTCAGATCTTTTGCCCATTTTTAAATTGGAATGTTGTAACAGTTTTTTATATGTATTCTAGATACAAGTCCTTTATCAGATATATGATTTGCAAAAAGAACTCAAGCAGTCTCCTTCTTCCTCCTGCTGTAGATTTATTTTGCCAGTTGTGCATTTGGAACAGAGGACATTAGGACTTCAGGAGGCTACTTCCACCTGGCTAATATATTCTATGACCTTAAAAAGTTGGACCTGGCAGACACATTGTACACCAAGGTGAGCTGGGGAATGTGGGAGTTGAGCCTTCACTCTTAGGCTTGGTGTCTTACAACTTGTATTAGACTATTCACGAAAAACATACCATTCATGAGAAAGAGAGGCACAGAGAGATGAAGTGGCTTGCCCAAGATTATATAGCCTGATACATGATATACTCAATTTTCTTTCTTCCCGTGTCCGCACTACCAAAATAGACTAACCCTTAACATCCACAGGGTGATTAATGAATAATGAAGGATAGGTCAGTAAGAGCCAAACCCTTCAAATAGACTGTTATATGCTGTGTCATACCCATAGCAGCAAGCTAATGTGGGTATATTGAAGTGTGCAATAGAGAAGAAGAGGTTTCCAAGGGAAATCTATTGCTACAAGATCCTGTCAAGGGATCCAAGAACATGAGAAATTTCCGTATTTACATAGAAAAGATTTCATACTGTTTCGAATATTTTAAAATGTCATTTGTATCCATATGGTAACACCTCGCTTAGCAGGCAATCATTTGTGTAATAAATGTGTAATACAAACTTTCTGCTGATTGTTGAGTCATGTTTTAGACCTGCTTCTGAAAAAGAGGCATTTTGCTGTAGCTTAAAAGCTTTAGAATCAGATAGATCAGGGATTAAATTCTGGCTATGCCACTTAACAGTTCTTACCAGAAGTCATGTGTGATCTGAACTTCTCTGAGCCTCAGTTTATTTACATGTAAAATGGGAAGAATAAGAATAAGAATATTCTTAATATTAATAATAAGAATATTACATTGGGATGTTATGAGGATGTGGAGGTTTCGTGTTGTATGTGCTGCACAAAAGATAAGACCCCACTAGGGCTACCCCAAGATGAGCTGCCACAGGCCGTTTGCATCACTTGTCACACTTACCTTGGTCAGGCCTGTTTGGGCTCCTAGGGCTCCCTCTGCCTCCAGGTACAGTATGAGAGAGAACCTCCAGGTTGTCCAGAAGCCGGGCCAAATGCGCTATTCTCCTCACCTGCCTGGTCCGAAGGCTGAGATCTGGCCTGCTTTTTGTATTACCTTCTCTTTTCCCAACAGGTCTCTGAGATCTGGCACGCATATTTGAACAATCACTATCAAGTCCTCTCACAGGCTCACACCCAACAAGTGGATTTACTGGGCAAACTATTTGAGAATGACACTGGCTTGGGTAAGTGGCAGTTTTCCCTGAAGGCAGAGCAGTGACTTCATCTCACCCAATACACAGACCTCGTCCCTAAGAGGGAAAGCAGCTGTCCCTGTCATGAAGCACACCATTGCCACCTTCCCCATGTTGCTGATGGAGAAAACTGAGACACGGGGATCAAAGAGATTTTACCAGTGTTGGGAAGAATTCAGATCCCTATCATCACACATAGCCATTCGGGAGTTACTAAGGGACAGATTTAGAGGAAAAAAAGACCCCATCAAAACCCCCTGTGACTTCTGCAGAGCATCCATTTCTTATGTTATCCCTCCAGGGCAGCAGTCCCAATCTTTCTGGCACCAGGGACCCGTTTCATGGAAGACAAGTTTTCCATGGACTGGGGGGTAGGGGAGGAATGGTTTCAGGAGAATTCAAGTGCATTACATTTATTGTGCACTATATTTTTATTATTATTAATGTATTGTAATATATAATGAAATAATTATACCTTGCATCATAATGTAGAACCAGTGGGAGCCCTGAGCTTGTTTTCCTACAACTAGATGGTCCCATCTGGGAGTGATGGGTGACAGTGACAGATCATCAGGCATTAGATTATCATAAGGAGTGCACGACCTAGATCCTTTGCATGCACAGTTCACACTAGGGTTCGCGCTCCTGAGAGAATCTGATGCTGCCGCTGAACTGACAGGAGGTGGAGCTCAGGTGGTAATGCAAGCAATGGGGAGTGGCTGTAAATACAGATGAAGCTTTGCTCACCCCCACCACCCCTGCTCACCTCCTGCTGCGCAGCCCGATTCCTAACAGGCCACAAAACAGTACTGGTCCATGGCCTGGGGATTGGGGACTCTTGCTCCAGGACACGTAAGCCAAAGTAGACTCTACACAGAAGTTGCATTGCTGATTTCTTCTGGTGCCTTAGCTTCATGCTTTACTGAACAGTGAGCTGCTCAGTGGCAGGGCCCAACTGGATTAGACTGTATTCCCCAGCGCAGCAAGGGGCTAAGTGTTGAATAGTACCGTACAGCATCATGCCGTCAGAGACAAAAGACACAGAAGATCCAGTTTCTGCTCAAAAGAGACATACAGTGCAGTTAGAATCTATAGGCAGTAACAAAAGAACATTCCTGTGAGTACAAATTATATTACAAGATGAGTCCCAGAATGAAGAGGTGAGGACAGCTGGGTGGTGTTGAAGAAGGAAGATTCTTTGGAGGAGAGGTTTTGAGCTAAAGTTTAAAAAATTAATAACTATTGAATTTTCTCTAATTATGTAAATAGTTCATGTTACAGCTGAAAACTTGGAAATCATAGATATCCAAAGATAGCCAACCTTAACATGATGGTGTATATCCTTTTCATCTTTTTCTCTAAGCTTAGTACTTGTATAAGTGCTTTTAAGTGCATGTAGTAACTTCTCAGTAAATGATGACTAAAGTAGGACCAAAAACTATTGGGGAAAATAGTAAACAGACTCTCAGAGGGAAGCATGAAGGTTGTTGCTTATGCATCTTTGGCCTAGACGAGAAGAGTTAAGCTGCTACAGCTGCAAGAAGTCCCTTCCCCCAGTTCTTTCCTCTCAGCTGTAGAGTGGAAGCTAAATTGGACCCAAGGAATCTGCCTGTGACAAATTCTCTGTGTTTGCAAGCCCAAGAGATCTAGAGTTCAGGACTCCGAAAGAGAGAAACCTTAGCAACTTTGGGACCTGTGGGAGTGAGCATATTTTTAGGCTACTCTGATAATGACATGCTAAGCAAAGCTGGAAAGTGGACTGAAACTCCTGCTTCCACGCACGTGGAGGGAGTCCTCTAGGTAAAAAACTTGCTGTAATTGGTGCTATTTCCACCAGTGCCCCTGGGAAGGCTTCAGCAGACCAGGCCCTTTAACAGCTGAGTGTTTTTGATGAGGGCAGACTCAGTTGCCAAGAGCCTGTTTTTTCTTTCTTCCGCTTCCAACGCAGATGAAGCCCAAGAAGCAGAAGCCATTCGCATCCTGACTTCAATCTTGAACATTCGAGAATCTACATCTGACAAAGCCCCTCAAAAAACTATCTTTGTTCTGAAGATCCTGGTCATGCTTTACTACCTGATGATGAATTCTTCAAAGGCAAGTTTCCCTAAAAAAGCAACATGTCTAAAATGAAGGTAGAAATTCATCTAGTTGAACTCATTTGTGTTTTGCCCAATTCCAATAGCTTTTGCCCTCAGGGCAAGCCCTCACTCCAAGGACGTTCAGATGCTCACGTTTCTCCTTTGTTGAGTCCAGCCTGCATAACGGAAGCTGGATTGTCTTCTTCCCCCGAGGGTTCCCAGGCTTGCATAGACAAAGGGAGTCTGGGGCAGTGCTGGGAAGCCTGCAGGGCAGGAGGGCTCTGGGGAGGCTTGGAGGGATGAAGTAGCAGCTCTAACTCCACTCGGTTACTGAGTTCCCCGTTGCTACGGGGATTCAGACAGAAATGCATTGCCATGAAATGATTCAAAAAGTAACTGTTTTTGAGTACTTTTACATACTAGTTGTTGGCCTAAACCCTTTACTTAATTATCATACTTAATGCTTACACCAACATTGGTAAGGTAGGTATTTTATTATCTCTACAAACAAGGAAACTGAGGCACTGAGAGGGTCAATTCTTTGCCCAATGTCTTAAAGACAGTAAGTGGCGTATCTCAGGTTTATTGATTTATTGTTTGATTATCTCATTCATTCAAACATTTATTGAAAACCTACCATTTGCAAAGCACTATTCTTGGGACTGGGGATACAGTGGTGATCCATACGTTTCTTATCTCCATGGCACTGGTGTTTTTTGGAGGAGTGGAAATAAACATATGTATGTCTAATATAATTTCAGATAGTAGGAACTGCTATAAAGAAAACTAGGCCAGGCACAGTGTCTCATGCCTGTAATCCCAGTACTTCTGGAGGCCAAGCCAGGATGATTGCTTATGTCCAGGAGTTCAAGACCAGCCTGGGCAACATAGTGAGACTCACTCTCAACTAAAAATTAAAAAAAAAAAAAAATCAGCCGGGCATAGAGGTGTGCATCTGTAGTCCCAGCTACCTGGGAGGCTGAGATGAGAGAATTACTTGAGCCCAGGAGATTGAGGCTGCAGTGAGCCGTGCTTGTGCCACTGCACTCCAGCCTGGGTGACAGAGCAGGATCCTGTCTCAAAAAAAAAAAAAATTAGAAGAAGAAAAAGCAGTAGGCAGGGGAGAGAGAGGAGGCTGGTTGGAGGAAGGCCTTTTTGTGTGGGTGACATGAGAAAATTTAAGACTCCTTTCCTCCCTCCTCCCTGTCTTCTTTTGTTTCTTCAGCTAACTTTTACTAAGCACCTGCAGTATACCAGGCCTGGAGGAGCTCACGGGTTATAATAGAGTGTGAGAGCGAAGCCCAGAGCACTGTAGGAGCACAGAGGAAAGGCACTAACCCTCTCTGGGATAGGAGTAGGAATGGGTGAGGAATAGGAAAATATTTCCACTGAACTTTCAAATTTACATTGGACAAAACCTCTTTTCTACAGTGCAATGTTCAGTTTTCCACTGTATACTCAAGGAAGTCATGACCCCAGGGTGTGTTAGATCTACAAGAGGCCTTAGACAAAAGGCACACATCTATCTGTCCATCAAGACTGGCACCTCACTTCCTTCAAGCCGTCACTTGACTCAGCTGTTTTCTTTTCAGTGAAGCGTTCCCTGCTCTCCCTGTCTAAAACTGCAACCCCCCACTACTACCTCTAATGCTTCCTATCCCCTTTTTTCATGCTTTATTTTTTTCCTTAGCATTTATCCCTATTTAAGAGACTATCGTGTTTTACTTAATTGTCTTCTTTATTGTCTTTCTCCTCTACTTCACTGTAAGTTCCATGAGAATAGGAATTTCTGCCTATACTCACAGGACCTGGAACATAGCAACCATTCAATAACTATTTATAGGAAGGAAGGAAGGAAGAAAGAGAAGAAGGGAGGAAGAAAGAAGAGCTTCTTACCAGTCAAAACTCTGGGCCACATGGCCCCCAGGACCACCCCAGGGTGGTAATTTACTTGTGGCACCTGTCACCTCTATGCCTTCCAGTGATGGCCTCTAGGGCCTGAGTAAAGTCCTACAAAGATCTCACTTTGTTAAGAAGGTATACTTAGTTTATGCTTAGTTTGTCAAGTCAGGTTGGGATTTTTTTCTGGTGCCCTGCTGCCCCGCCCAGTGCACATGTGGCTAGCTGTAAGGGCCCAGTGTGTTTACAGGTTTATCAACAAGAGCTCAGTGGGTGGTGTGAAAAGGTGATGAGTTCTCTCTCATGTTTCTGGCGTTGAGCACAGATGGGGCTTCCCAGTGTTATGCTTTCCTGTGATGACTTCCTTTTGTCACTACAATTCTATTTCAGGCACAGGAATATGGCATGAGGGCCCTCAGTCTAGCCAAAGAACAACAGCTTGATGTCCATGAGCAAAGCGCCATTCAAGAGTTATTAAGTCTCATTTCAACTGAAGACCGTCGCATTACTTAGTGACCCATGAGCTCTGCATCAAGGGTTATTCCAGGAGCTACGGAACGTCTAATATATTCCAGCCCTGCACAACTGCTTTGAGGTACTGTAGACGGCTGAAGTTTCCACCCTCTTCCCCTGGGATTACACACATAGCTGTTATTTTTTTCTTACACAGCATATTGTGGGAATATAAAGCTTTAGGCACAGAAATCAGTAAAAACTGTGTTTGTCATGACCTTTGTACTTGATTTATCATGACTTTGTATGAATAATATGTAGTCAGATCACTAATATGGTATTTGTAATTAAACTACAAATAGTTTTTCATTTTCCCAGAAGTCTCCCAATGATGCATGTCTCATACACTTTTGCTAAAGGAGGGGTAAATGAGGGGGTAGGGAATAAAGCTATATTGGAGCAAAGTTTCTCTATTCTTAATTCTATGCTGGAATTAATTTAGTGTTAATCTGAGGTAGATTGTGATAAAGTACCCATTATAATTCCTAGAGCAATCACTAAGAAAATAACTCTAAAAATAGTTAAAAATCAACAAAGGGATTACTATGGTATGCTAGAAAATATCTGCTTAAAGAAAAGAAGGTGGGATAGACGAACAAAAAGGACATGAGACACATGGAAAGCAAATAGCAAAATGCAGGCATAAGTTACACATAAGGTCTTTCTGTGCCAGAGGAGGCCCCTGGGCCTGTCAAGGAGCTTCAGTATAGATTGACTGAGACGTCATTCCAGGGTGGTATCTTTCTTATCTCAGACAATAATTGGAAGCAGACATGGGCCATCTATACAGTCTAGGGGAGAGGCACTCTGAAAGATCCCCTGTGATGGAGAGGACAGAGGGTGAGCGTAGGACTCAGACATGCCTGAGCTCAAATTCCAGCCCTCTCACATCATTGCTTTGTGACCTTGATCTCCCCATAGCCTCATCCATTACTATTGTAAAATGGCCCAGATGTGGCCACAGCTGTATCAGCTCGTCCCATCTTGATGACTCTGGTAATTTAGCATATCCTTTTTTTTCTCCCTTAGTTCCTTTCCAGACTTGCCAAGCAGCATTTTGCTTCGTGAGTAGATCTGCACCCAGGGAGAAGATATGCAGGTCAAGAACCTGTCAGAGAGTTTTATGTTCCTCACTGTAAATTAATTCACTCAGACACATATAATAAAAATAAGTCAGATGGGTCACCCTGTCCCTTCAGGTAAAATCAGCTGGAACCCCGCCCCCCACCCTTCCATACTTCTGGGCATTCTTATGCTTCTCCAAGATGGCTATGAAATCCCAGGGGCTTACTTGTCTTTCAGCCATCTCTTGATCTAATTTTCAGCCTCAGATGAATTCTCATTCTCCAGTCAACATTGTGTAGCACTTTATTCTTCTCTTTAAGGACAGAGCCCCTTCTTCTTAGCTCTTAACTCATAACCCCAAATATGAGTCAGCTCTTTCAAATAGACTCTTAATGAAGACTGGAGGAGTAAGGAGGAGGATCAACAACTCTTCAGCAGACAATTTAGAAGAAAATATTAGAACTTACCTCTTCTAAAAACATTCTAAAAAGTCAATTTTATTAGACTTTCACTCTATTCTTTATTCCTTGGCCTCTTTCTGCCTTCTCACTCCTGTCTTATCTATTCTCCTGAATTCCTGTTCATTAACCCTTCTGCATTGAATAAATTTATGAAGTTATTGTTTAAATTTATTGTTTCTTTTTTAAAATTTTTATTTATTATTATTTTTTTGAGATGGAGTCTCGCTGTATCACCTAGGCTGGAGTGCAGGGGCGCGATCTCCACTCACTGCAAGCTCCGCCTCCCGAGTTCACGCCGTTCTCCTGCCTCAGCCTCCCGAGTAGCTGGGACTACAGGCGCCCGCCACCTCGCCCAGCTAATTTTTTGTATTTTTTTAGTAGAGATGGGGTTTCACCATGTTAGCCAGGATGGTCTCAATCTCCTGACCTCGTGATCTGCCTGCCTCAGCCTCCCAAAGTGCTGGGATTACAGGTGTGAGCCACTGCGCCTGGCCAATTTATTATTTCTATAGGCTGATTTACTTCTTGGCTGTAGGCCACAATTTTCTGTTTTTTTTTTTCATGCTTAGTAATTTAATTTTCAGTTTTTCTTCTTTTCTAACACATGCATTTAAGGCTATAAATTTTACTCTATATACTGCTTTAGCTGATCCCATACATTTTTAAAATGCAGTATTTTATTTTTCTAAATATTTCTTATTTTTTATGACTCATGAGTCACTTAGAAATATGATTCTTAATTTCTAAAATAGGAGTTCTAAAACAACTTCTTTGCTATTGATTTCTAGCTTTATTGAGGTTCTATAACATACTGTATATAATTTTGATTTTTAGAAATGTTCTTTATAGAATGTGGTCAATATTTAAGTGTTTTGTGTGTGCTAGAAAATAATGAAGTTATTGGGAGCAGTGCCCCTTAAGTCAAGTTTGCTCATATTTTCAATTCTTGCATATTTTTGCTGACTTTTTGTTCATTTCTAAGAAAAGTATAAAATCTATCCACTAACATTGTGGATTTATCTATTTCTCCTTGTAGTCCTGTTAGTTTCTGCTTTATATATATGTGTGTATATGTATTTTATGTATATACATATATTATATATGCATATATAATATACATATATTCTATTATACATATATTATATATAATTATATATATATATATTGTTTTGAGACGGAGGCTCACTCTGTCGCCCAGGCTGGAGTGGAGTGGTGCGATCTTGGCTCACTGCAACCTCTGCCACCTGGGTTCAAGCTATTCTCCTGCCTCGGGATTACAGGCATGTGCCACCATGCCTGGCTAGTTTTTGTATTTTTAGCAGAGACCATCTTGGCCAGGCTGGTCTTGAACTCCTGACCTCGTGATCCGCCTGCCTCAGCCTCCCAAAGGGTTGGGATTACAGCGTGAGCCACCGCCCCTGGCCTGTTTTTGCTTTATAGTTTTTGAGGCTTTGTTATTAGATGTGTACACATTTAAATATTATATTTTCCTAGTGAATGGAATTTTTTGTATTATGAAGTGTGAGTCTCTTTATCTCTAGTAATGTTTTGGGCCTTAATTTTGATCTTATATTAATATAGCTGCATTCACTTCCTTTGGGGCTGGATTGCTTGTTATCAGCTAGGCGTCATTACCGTTCCCTTCATCATTTACCTCTGCTTCTAAGGGGAAGCTTAGAGCTACAGTTCTCAGTATCCCTCTCCTTTTATGATTCTGGATAAAATTCTGTCAATGAGGACCAACTGCTCAAAATTTGGAAGCTGCATAAGGAACAACCATTTACCTTCCTGCGAATCATCCACTGTTGTTTTCCTGGATGCGGATTTCCTGTGAAAGCAGCTTGTGCCCTTTGCCCCCGATCTTGATCACCCAGCTACTTCAAAGATTGTGTATGCCTCTTATTCTCGATATTAAATAGATTTCTTTATTCAAAATGCCTAGGGAAGTTTCTGTTTTCCTGACTACACCTTGACTGAAACTCTTGATATTTCTTCACACAACCTTTTACTTCCAAACAATCTGTATCCTCAGAGGTGTTCTCACTATGTTATGCAGGCTGGATTTGAACTCCTGGGGTCAAGAGATCCTTCTGCCCCAGCCCCTTGGGTAGTGGAATTGGAGCAGGCACCACTGTGCCCAGCTCTTAATGTTTGTGATGCATCTCTTGTAAAAATAATATGATTAAGATGTTTTTATATCTGTCATTCTTAAAGAATCATTTAGTCCATTGTTTACACACTAAATGATGTGGATTTTTAAAAGTTATTAGAGTTTAAATCTATGGTCTTATTTTATGCCTTCTATTTGTTCTGCGTGTTCTGTTTTTTCCTTTTCTTTCTTTTGGATTGATTACATATTTTTTCTCTTTCCATTTCTTCCACTCTGCAAGTTTGTAGTTTATATTCCGTGTTTCTATTCTTTTAGTGATTGCCCCAGAAATCCAAGCATTTGTTTCTTACTTAACAAAATTTAAAGTTATTTAGGAAACCCTCATCCCTGACAATAGAAGGTCTTTAGAATCTTTTAACTACATTTACCTCCCCCCAACTTATACCTTCTTATTATTTATTTCAAATATATCTTAAACTCATGTCATAATTATTTTGTAAAGTCGTCGTATTCCTTCTTTTCACATCTTCCATCTTGGCTCACATTACTGATAAATATGTTAGTACTTCCTATAGTGAGGGCCTAAAGATGGCAAATTCTCAGATTTTCTTTCTTTTATTAATTTGAAAGTGTTCTTATTTTGCCCTAATTTTTTTTTTTACTCTTCAATGAAAATGTATTTCATTTTTATATATGATTTATTGAGGCAGGAAATAATCTCAGTTCTGAACAGCTCTACAAAATGTGGTTTACTTGGCCGGACGCAGTGGCTCACGCCTGTAATCCCAGCACTTTGGGAGGCCAAGGCGGGTCGATCATGAGGTCAGGAGATCAAGCCATCCTGGCTAACACGGTGAAACCCCATCTCTACTAAAAATACAAAAAAATTAGCCGGGCATGATGGTGGGCGCCTGTAGTCCCAGCTACTCGGGAGGCTGAGGCAGGAGAATGGTGTGAACCCGGGAGGTGGAGCTTGCAGTGAGCCAAGATTGCACCACTGCACTACAGCCTGGGCAACAGAGCGAGACTCCCGTCTCAAAAAAAAAGAAAAGTGGTTTACTTGACCCCAAAGAGTATAAGTAGGTTGAAACGAGCCAGGATTTCTGGTGATGCTGTAGGTTCCCTATAGAGTGTCTCTTATCTTCCCACCTGGTAATCACATCTTTCCTAAGCGTCCTCAGCAGAATTCACAAGGGTGGAGCTGAAGGATCATCTCTGAAAGGCCTGATTAAAATTTTCCACTAGCAAGCACATATGCACTGTTACAAATATATCATATCGTCTATGAATCTTTATTTAACAAAAATTCACTGAGTTGCTGCTCTACGCTCTCACTATATAGCATTTTATCATTGCACTCTATGGCTTTCTGCTCTGCCACAGGGCCTCAGATGACCAAGATTGGAACCAAACTGCTCTACCACCAGAGGCCTTGCCATGTCCCATTACAGATACACATTGTACAAATGAGGTGTCCCTGTTCTCACGATGACTCTGTGAAGTACGACATTTCTCAAACACAATAGGTCACACAAAACAAACAATTGGCAAAGAAAATGCTTCAGAAAAGATGGTGAAGCATTATTTGGATGACAGAACCATGCAATCATTTTGCCAAACAGAAAACATATGTCTTTGCTAATATTCATCAATATCAGTGCAATGTGATAGAGATAAATATTTTATATTATGTACATACATACACAAACACACTTTTAATAGCTAATATTTAAATAAAGCACTTTTTAAAAGCAGCACATGAACAAGGTTACTATTGGGAGCAGGATGTAAAACCAGGATTGTATATTATAAGCGTTTTCCCATGCACACCTTTTTCAGGATTGTGTATCTCCCAGAACATCTTAATGAACATGGCAAAAAAGAAAAATAAAAGTTTTCAGTGAAAAAAGGTGGTTCATGGTTTAAAAGTCAAGTTTTACCACAAGAAACCAAGTTGGAGGTAAGGGTTGAGGAAGGTAGCGGCCAAAAATGACCACTGTAGTTTTGTTTTATTTTGTGTGTGTGTGGTTTGAGCAAGTGGTTGGCATTGTGCACTCAATTGAGGAGGCCCTGAAAGAGGGGCAGGTTTGTTGGGGAAAGATAAAAACATGAATTCAGCTTTAAACATGGTGAATTTGAGACGCTTATCAGACATTCGAAGAGAGATGAAGGGTGGCCAACTGGATATGCCATCTGACATTAAGAAAAGAAGCCTGGGCCGAGCACGGTGGCTCACACCTGTAATTCCACACTATGGGAGTCTGAGGCGGGTGGATCACCTGAGGTCAGGAGTTCAAGACCACCATGGCCAACATGGTGAAACCCCGACTCTACTATAAATACAAAAAAATGAGCTGGGCGTGGTGGTACACACCTGTAGTCCCAACTACTCAGGAGGCTGAGGCAGGAGAATTGCTTGAACCTTAGAGGTAGAGGCTGCAGTGAGCCGAGATTATGCCACTGCACTCCAGCCTGGGCAACAGAGTGAGACTCTGTCTCAAAAAAACAAAAAACAAACAAAAAAAAGAAGCCTGGGTTCAGAGATAAATTTGAAAGTATCATGTACATGCTAATTAATACCAAGGAAATGGAGATCATGTAGGGATGAAACCCGCAGCTAAGGAATAGAAGAAAGCCTAAGGAAACACTGGAGGAAACAACATTCAATGGAGAAGAGGTGAACCCAGCACAGGAGGCTTATGTAATTTCAGACTTAGTCAGACTACTCATTCAAAGAATTCCTATAATACCTTTCACCCAGATCTCCCAAATGTTAACGTCTCACCACATTTGCTTTATTTTCTATCTCTAGAAACCCATTATTTTCTGAGCCATTTGAAAGCAAATTGCAGACATGATGTCCCTCTATCCCTTGATATTTAATGTGTATTTTCTAAAAACAAGGACATATTCTTACATATTCTTATTGGAACAATCACCAAAATGAGGAAATTGACATTGATATGATACTATCAGGCAATATAGTACAGACCAGTTGTCTTAATCATGTCCTTTAGAGCAGAAGAAAATCCCTGGACAGGCAGTGTGCTCAGCTGCCACTTCTCTTTAGTCAGAGGAGTGCCTTTCGACGTGGCACAAGTGCTGCCACTCCAAGGTTCCCTGACCTATCTCATGAGAATTTCAGCCAGAATTTTCTAACAAAAGAAGATGCTTAGGCCCTTGGGGAGCTCTAAAGAGCTGTGATTCACCGAGAGTACAGTAGGCATAAGGCTGGTGGAAGAGTGATCATTTTTGAGAGAAGCCTCTCCCCAGATTTAAGAAGTGCTATTAGTGAAAGCAACAGCTGCAGGAAAAGCAGCGGGTACCAACATGATAGACAGGTAGGTGCCAGCAGCATGAAGCTGGGAGAGTCCCAGAGGGAGACCATGTGACTCTGGGAAGTAGAAGGGGAAGTGTCACAGGCTTATTCTTTGAGGAGAGGAAATCCCAAGATCCCACAACTTGGGAAGGCATCTGCAGCCAGCCTGAATATCGCTCAACCTGTGCCCCTGCAGCATGGTTCCTGCCAAGGCCACCGTCAAGAGGGTAGGAAAGCCATCAGCAACCTTTCCAGAGTACTTCCTTTCCCACCAAATATTGCTGGTCTACCATGGAGCTAAACGCAGTTCTCTGTGAGACAATGGGGGAATTTGAATATGGACTGGGAATTAGATGGTATCAAGGGATTATTGCCAATCTTACTATTTGTGGTAAAGGCAAATGGAAATGTCCTTTTCTGGGGAGTTTACTATTCTCTCCACTTTTGTGTAGTTTGACGATTTTCATGTAAGAGAAGAAAGAAACATAGGCCACATTCCCGTGTTTTGGTTCAAGGACAATATGAATGGTACATAATGCCATACCCCAAATTATCCTTGGCTGCAGCAGTCAGGCACTATCCCTTTGATGTTCTGACCTCAGTTTGGACCCCCTGACCCTCAGAAGCTGGGGAACAGCCTTAGTTCAAGGGTCTTGGGCCTTGTTTTGACCGTAAGTTAGTCCCCCAGGGTCTTATCACTGCTTCTCCCAGGAAGCCTCTTGAAATGTCAGGCAAACACAAGTCCTGAGGGCCCTGCCTGACCTGTCAGAGTTCTTCTGGTGAGTACACAGATTCTTTCAATCCCCTGAGACCCCTCACTGCACCACACAGCCATTTGAAACAGCTTTCAGCTCTCACTTGCTATTTGAATCTTAATTCAAATGTCAGCCCAGGAGAGCACGCTGAGCAGGCCCGTGACAAGCTCACGCCATCTGCATTAGTATTTTCCTCCATCATCTTGACAGTTGAGAGTTGGCAGTATTACAATTCAGACGGCACTCTGCGTTTGAAAGGAAAATTATAGTTTTTCAGAATGCAGCTGGTGTGCAAGTGAATAGGGCGAAGTTTCTTCTGTGAAGCCTTTTCCTCATTTTATGATATGAAAATAATAAAATGTAGATTCAGCATGTGATTCTTACTTTACAAGAACCATCAAAAGGCACAGAATTTTGGGGACAAAAGCAAACAAAGCATTCTGTTCCATAGTAATAATTTTAATAAAAAGCAAAAACAGCAAAACAATCATTTATAAATGATTTCTTCTCTGTTGGAGAAGTTAACACTGTTATTGCTGTATAAACCACTTGGAAATGAGCTATTTCAGTGCCTAGTTAAGATGTATTCTTTCCAGCACATTTTCATTTTGCCAGTTGGGCAGGAAAAACTACAGTCCACTTTCCTGGAGGGAATTTAACTGAACTACTGCCCACAGGTAACAGTGAACTTTACAAATCACTCCAATAAGTTTAGTAGCAAAGTAAACATCTTTCTCAAGGGCTAAAACCACAGAAGTTAGACAGAACAAGCAGAGAAGCAGTCTTTTAGGTGTTAAACTTCATGCCACTTGTGCACATTACACTAGGACACTTGCTTCTGAGAAATACAACACAAATGCTACCTCCCTGGAACTAAGATGTTTCAGTGCTTATGTGTATCAATTTCTTCTCTCTGTCGCCCAGTGGCAGTGGTGTGCTGATAAATGTTTAACAACCAGCTCTGGGGCAGGGGGTCTTGATATAGAGTGTTTGCCAATCTCTGTAGTGTAAATACTCTCAGTAGGGCCGATTCTCCAGCTACCAATGGGATGTCACTGAATGGTCAGGTTGGGAAGAGATGTGCAATAGCACGCCATTATATTGTAGCACACCATACGAATACAATAGATGTCAGTATCCTCAAGAACATAGATAATAGTAAAATAACTAGGAAGTGATGAGTTTTGAGTATTTATTACTGTTTTTAATATACTTTAATTGTAGGTTAATATAATCTCTAATGGTCACTGTGGCTGTGTTTACCAGCCAGCTTACAAAATTCCTGAAAATTGAACAATCCACTCTCTCATGGGCCAGTGCAGACCAGTTCAACACACCACTGGAACTCGAGCCCTCAAGGTGGGACTAAGCAAACCAGGCACCTGCCTAGTCCTGCCTCTACAGTGACCTTTATTAACTCTGCAGAACGATTAAGGGCCCCAGCTCTCCCCTTACAGGAGATCCGTGTTCCTTCTACATAGGAGATTATGGGAGTCCCACTCTGGATAGGCCCAGGACAGCAGAATTTTAGCTGCTTTATTGGTTAGTTCCATCTGATTTCAGGGCTGTCATCCCTGCCAAGTCCAGATGGTGCTGTCGGACTATCAGAGTTCCCCACACAGCCCCCCTCCCCCCAGCCTTCTGCACTCCCCTCACCCTCTATTTGACAGGTTTAATTCACGTCCCTGGCACCGCCTCCTTCCATTTGATGCGAAGCCAGCAAACCTAATACAGGAAGAGCCAAAAAACCCAGGTGCTAAATCATCCAAGGTCAGGCTGCTTTCCAGGTCGGCTTTCCAGTCTCCCAGTTGTCTGAGGCAGTCTTTCCTCCAGGATTTTTCTTAGCCAAATACGTTCGCTATATCTTGCACACAGCATCATAAAACCTCAAGGATGGATGGGACCTTCCAGTCATTAGGCCTGAACCACAGCATGCTTGAGCTGCCGCCAGCCCTGCCCCCAGCAGCTCTTTTTCCCAGCTGTAACGCTGCTGTCTGCCAGCTTTTATCCCTTGGCACTGAGCCCTGATTTCAAGAAGGCGATGCTTGTATTCCTCACAGTGGGGGGAGCAAGAGGGAAGGAACCTATGGAAAGCCAGGCATGTGGTTAAGTGCGACACATTCAAGTTTATCACATTTATAGGTGACAAAATTAAAGTTTAGCAAGTTGAAGTAAAGTGTCCCTGGGTCACATAAGCTTTAAGTTACGTGGATTTGAACTGGATCTGACTCAAACTAGTACCATTCACATTAGTCCATGCTGCCTTCCAAAAGGCGTGCCCCTGGCAACGAGTGGTGAATATGGTCATTGTGATGCCTGGCTTGTGTCGTGAGAATAAAATAATGCATCACCTTAAGAGATGGCACTCGAATTCCCCTTGAGAGGGAACTGTCTTTGTCCAGGAAAATGCTTTTAATAAGCCACTCATGGTAAAAGGTGAAGTAGTGACGGTAAGGGTGTTGGCAGGAATCAAATTAAGAAAAGGAATGGCTATCCATCTGGCTGTATGTGAGAATATAAATGGATCTGCTTTGTCCCAAGGACAGGAGACAGGGACCACGTGGAGTGGAAGGTGAGTGGAGATTCCTCCATAGTATATAAAAAGAACATTCTATAAATGGGGTGCCGAGTCTGCACTGTTGTAGCATCTGCCATTCCTTCCCACGTCACTGAGACACACACAGGCACACACACTCACTCACTTGAATTTTGCTATGTGGAAATGGGCGAGGGAACTGAGCTTCATGTCTCAGCTGATGCATTGCAGGGATAAGACGCTGTTTAAAATGAGGTAGCAGAAGTGTGGAGTCAGCAGTGGCTGCAAAAATATAAGTCTCTGAGAAATCACAGAAATGTAGAGGTTCAGAACCAGAATCCAGTTATCAGACCTATCTGGATTTCAAGAGGCAGGGAGTCCTCAGCTGACATTTGGGTTACAACAGGGATGCATCTGTGCCTAATGTCTGGCTGCAAGGGGGACGCACTGTGGAACAGAAAGTAGGGGGAAACTTTTGACCTTGTTGCTGATTGAAACCGGAGCATGTGAATCAAACAGGATTTCTTTTTGGGTGTGCCTAATGCAGTAGGTTTAGGAGCTGCAAACCCTTGGGTTCCAGGACATTCCACAGTGAGGGAACATTGGCTGAACTGGAGCCAAATAAGCTTTCAGTTAGCTTGGCATGGGCTTTCTTCCTCACATCCCACCACTGAAAGTGTGGGGTAGAGTTAAATGGTCTTGGCTGGTCTAAAGACGGTGCGGGCCAGAAGCCAGCTTGCATCATGGAAATATACATGCCTTTGGGGCTCTCACCTAGAAGCCATCCAAGTGCTGAACCCTTGACGGCTGGCACATCACCACCGTGTTGATCCAGAACAGAGGCTCATCAGAAGGGGAAGAGGCGGAGGGTAGGCCCAGGATGGGAGCATGTGCTCGATTCCAGGGAGGGATGGAGCTACCCCCGGCAGCATGCCAAAGTGGATGAGGAATCAGGTTGCCTGAGTCCAGCCTTGCTATTGACTGGCAAGTGACCACGGCCTCTGGAACTAAGATTCCCTATTTATAAAATGGGGGACTAGACTGGTCTCCAAAATGCTATTTCCATGACCTCAAATGGGGCTCATAAGCGACTTTCTTAGTGTGGCCCTGGAACCCCAGAGAACACCACACAGCGAAATTACCAAACCAGGTTGGAATGCCAGCACAGGGCTTGGGACAGTGCATGTTGGCACAGGAACTGTACCTAGACAAGGAAATGGAGAGGCTTAAAAGAAAGTTTTCACATTCAGCCCTGTGGTTTTAGGAGGGAGGGCTGCAGAGTCTAGCCATAGACCTGGAATGGAGGCGTGATTTAGTTTTAGGAAAAGATTAAAACACTATATCCCTTAGAAGAATTGTCTTCCAGGTAACATTTTAAAGTAACAATCTGTACTGATCTTGAGTCTCAGAGGTAGAGTCAAAAATAGTCCCAGATCTAAGAACATTCACTTTAGGGACAGTGACAAATATGGCTATTTTCAGGGGCCTTCCCAAGACATCCACTCAGACTAATGGCAAACAGGCTTACCTCCAGTTGCAAAGGAAAATATTAAACTGTAGTGACTTGACTAAGGTTGGATTTATTCTCTGACCTGACTCCTTAAACTGACCTGCTAAGGCTATGCCTGCACATAGTATGCTGGTTCATTAGACTCTGGGAGGGTCAGCTTTTATTTGGGCGGTCCTAAAACCCCCCAGCCAGCTGCTTACATCTTCCCCAGATTTGCATTCAGTGTTCTCAAGACCAGCATTCCTCAGGATTTAAAGAAGAGAGGAAGCACATCTCCCCCACTTCTCCAGGGTGGATGGAAATCCATGCATCTCATTATCTTTATGCAGAAGAGCTTCAAAGACATCTACTTCTAATCAATACATATTCATGATTCTTTCATTAAAACAGCCCACAGAAGAGCCATTTTTTCCCTCCTTCCTACTAGAATTCCAAATGATCCCAAGTTTTTCTTTCTTTCACAAAACTATTCCAGACCTTTCCCTTTTTCCTTTCCTCCTCTCCTGGTCCCCATGGTCATGGAATCTCCTTTTAGCTGGAACCAGTGAGCCTGCAATTTTGACACTAGTGGCTTATGATCCACTTATATTGTTTCTGAGATCCTAAAGACCTAAAGCCCCAAATCCTCATTTTGGCAACCCCATATCTGATCAGAAAAACAGCATGAAGACGCTTTTCCCAAGTGCAGAATCATATATTCTGAGTGACTGAGCTATTGGCATTCAAGTTTTGACCAGTTTCAAGATGCTACTACCAGATAATGGAAAGACCATATACAGACACTGCAATCTATGTTACATAAGGAAGACTTCGTTAGTTGGTATACAAGAGTGGAGAGTTTCAGGTTATATACGATACATCCAGAAGGCTGTTTGAATACACAAAGAGCCATATTCCTTTCAGGTCTTAAGTTTCCCTGGCTGGAAGTGAGGCCTCTGAGAAGCTGCATTCCTTTCTCAGGGTCCTTACCACTGTTCAGTGTGCTAATGCCAAGAAGGTATGGCTTTTTTTTTTGAGATAGAGTCTCACTCTGTTGCCCAGGCTGGAGTGCAGTGGCCCAATCTCAGCTCACTGCAAGCTCCGCCTCTCGGGTTCACACCATTCTCCTGCCTCAGCCTCCCGAGTAGCTGGGACTACAGGCGCCCGCCATCACACCCGGCTAATTTTTTGTATTTTTAGTAGAGACGGGGTTTCACTGTGTTAGCCAGGATGGTCTCGATCTCCTGACCTCGTGATCCATCCGCCTCGGCCTTCCTAAGTGCTGGGATTACAGGTGTGAGCCACCACGCCCGGCCTGGCCGTTTTCTTTGTTAAGGAGTGATGTGAAACTGTTACAAATCAGATGTGGGAGGTGTTCTACTACCATTAACTTACATGCACCAGTATCACTTACTTACTTCAGCCTCAAAGAGGTAAACAAATGAGGCATTTTCTCTATCTGAATGAAACATGGAGACATAGAGTTCCTGTCATTGCACAAGGTCAGCTGTTCAAGCAGAGAGCCAGAACTAGGCTCTGGCTCTGCACCCCATGTTCCTTTAGCAGGCCTGTGGCCAGCTATGACAAGTATAGCCTGAGGCTCACAGAGCCCACAGCCAGCATGGTATGGGAAATCCTGGATTGGGGCTGGTTGTGGTCCAGCTGTGATCCAGCTTTCTCCACTTCTAGACAGGACTGGTGCCAGGCAATGAAGCCAATGACTACAGATGTCACTCACAGCTGGAAAATGGGCCTCCTTTGGCAAAGGAATCTGGAGCACTCTCTAGCTGCTCTGCTCAGGCTGGGGCCCTGCTAGCCTCCTTTTAGATAAAGTGGGGAGACTAGATTCACACCAAACAGTGGAAATGAGGGAATGCAGCTTCCAGATGATCATCACTTGGTTAAGTTTGCACAGAAGGTGTAACCAGTTCCAGTGAGAACAAATCTAAAGCTGTCCGTCTTTTAAAGCCACCCTGAGTGGTAAAGATAAGGTACGTCTTAACTTATATAAAGGTGAAGTATTATTTTTCAACTGTACAAGACACATTACTAGGGTTACAGTTCAGTGGCATGCACCTTATGTTGGACTGCATTTAAACTACAACTGTGTAGTGTGACATCTCCATTACATGGCACCAAACATTTGTCAATTGTACAACTATTACTTGGTGAGATCTGGTTTTAACTACAATACTTTAAAAGCCAATTTCTATTTAAATGTGTTACGAAAAAATGCAATAGCTTAACTTTATACACATTGTACAGAATAAGTACAGTAATTTCTGCACCCGAATGGGTAGTGTTGCCTTCGAAGTAGTCACCTTGGGAAGACGTATGTTTATTCCAGTGAAGCTGACCTTACACAGAACATTTCTAGAACCCTCTTTAGAAACTGTCAACTTGTAAGGGTCTTCAGTGTTGGTAAATCTTTGTCCTTTAAGGGTAGATCTATTTTTTGAGGAATGACTTTTTTTTTTAACAGCTAAAGAGCATTAGAAAATAAGTCTGCTAAATAAAATGGGTGATGAAGCTCAGGATTACCGTGGTGGGCAGGAGGAGGGGTTGGATAAAACACAAGGTCTGACTATAAAGTTGCGAGGCTTTTTGCCTTGCATGGCTTCAAAGGTAACCCCAAAGGGGAACCCTAAGTGTTCTTAGCACATGCAACCTCAAGAAAATAACTCCAATTATGCTAACTCTTGAGTGCATATGTTCTAGTGTATTTGGTTAAAAAGGTATCTTTGCTTATTTTCAGTCATATTTCATATAAGCAGAAATGGAAAACTCCATCTCTGTGATTTCTCCCAAGGGAAAGATCTCATCTACTGCTTAGAGAATTAAAATAAAAAGCACTTGGTGTCATGTCTACATTAGCCCCGCCAAAATGTGCAATGAGTAATTCCTGATACCTGAGTCTTCCCCGTTTGGAAAAGTGGGTAAGGACAGGTGTCTGGATCCTAGGTAAAAGTAGAATTTCAAGGGGATTGGAGTGTTTCCAATGGCTCCCATCTACTCAATAGACTTACAACACCCACTCATACAAGGAAACCTCCTACAGCTAAGCAGTACACAAAGTTTCAGTAGAGGAGGGGAAGAATGATGATCTCCAAGTAGCTTTGTATGGTAAAAACCCTGGCTTCTGGATGACAAGTGAACAGAGTCCATTGAAAAAGAAAGTCCATGGTGTTAGATTCTAGTGCACGCTTAAGAAATAAAGTGTGTGGCCACTAGCTCATTGAAGTGCATTTCCAGCTGAGGCCAAAGGCAGCAAAGGTGCAAGAAGCTGCTAGAGCTGACATTAGTTGAAGCAGGGTCTGTAAATTCAGAGTGGCAAAGCAATTTGTAGAAAGGCCCAGTTACAAAGCAGGACTGTTGCCAACCTGTGAAGTCAAAGAACGTTCAATCTCACTTTCTACAAAGTGCTTCATTGAAAACGCTAATGAGGAAGCTCCCTAAAACACCATATCCTGAGTGTCGGAGAAATATGGTCAAGATGGTGATTGATGGGGAGCAGAGATTGATCCTCTAATAGTGTTTGAACTGTGTATTTTCCAAGCATCACACACACACTTAGTGAAGAACCTATTACTGCAGTCACATTCCAGCTCGCCTGCACATGCTTCCATCCCGTGCTTGCTTTTGAGTACATATTTCCATCAGCCATTTCGAGTTAATGGGTTCTACTGCTAAAAGTCAGAAGCAGCAGCAGGGTCAGTGCCTTAGAGTCGGCTGTAATATCCACGTGCTCACAGCAGACGTCAGTCTCATATTGATCAGTCGGGATGTTGTTCTTGGTGAGTGTTTTTATATTTGTCTTTGTAAAAACCACAAAGCTAGGCCATTTGCTTAAATCATCGTTAGAAAAAATGCTGAGTGCCCAGATGGGATTTCTAGTTTCTGTGCAAATGAAATCACATTAGTCCAGATTTTATTCACTCAAAACTACTAGGGAAGCAGTAGGATTTGGTTTAAATGCTGCCAAAGAGCAGGAATTCACTTAAGTTTTAATTCAGAAGCAATCCTGTTGTTAATGTTGTAGCCAGGTTCGGACAGCATGGAGGGTGGGGCCCCCATTGTGCTTGCTGAGGAATCCCGGATCTCTCCCAGTTCAGGCTCACTTTCGCTAGAGGTAGACCCACTGTTGATGGTATAGACGCTCTCTGCAACTCCCTGAGCTGAAGCACAGCCATCCGGCTCGTTCTTCTCCCTCGGACTCGACAGTCCTGGGAGGACAGCCATCTTTCCAGTCTGCCTGTTTGGCAGCAAGGACATGGTATAGTCTGCAATGATCCCACCCACATCTAAGTTGCATGCCTGGTCGAAGGCTAGGAAGCCAACATTAGCGTTTGCCTCACACACCACAAAGGAGCCATCATCCATGATAAGGAGATCAATGCCACAGAAGTCCATGCCTAGGATGTTGGACACCTGAATAGCCAACTGCTTGCCTTGTTCTGTCAGCGGGCACATGACACCCACGCCACCTGTGGGGAAAGCACAGTGATGTAAAGGTGACAACTAAGAAGTCAGATGACTCTTCAAAGAAGAGACAGGGGTCTGCTCAGGAGGGGAAGAAAGACAGGCTCGATCATTAATCACAAAAGGTCTGGATGGAAATCACTACACCCTTCGGGAAAACAATACAGCCAATTTTTATCTAGTCTTAAAAATGCTGATTTCCTCTGACCCAGCCATCCCACTACCAAGGAAATAATCTTATGGTACGGGGGGAAAAAAAGCTTTATGCACAAAGATGTTAATGGCAGTATTATTTAAAATACAAATCATAGAGCCAGGTAAATGATGGGCACTTAATAAATATTCAATACATATTGAATGATGAAATGAAAAATTATAATCTAAATCTCTCACAGTAGGGAAAAACAGTGTATTGTACAGCCATTAATAATAATGCCAGCTGGGTACAGTGACTCACGCCTGTAATCCCAGCACTTTGGGAGGCTGAGGTGAGAGGGCTGCTTGAGGCCAAGAGTTTGGACCAGCCTGTGCATCATAGCGAGACGCCATCTCTACAAAAAACAAAAATAAAACTAGGTGGGTATGGTGGCTCGCTGTAGGGTTCCTCCTCCCCCAGCCTCCCAAGTGCTGCAGTCCCAGCTACAGTGGTGTGATCTTGGCTCACTGCAAGTTCCGCCTCCCGGGTTCACACCATTCTTCTGCCTCAGCCTTCCGAGTAGCTGGGACTACAGGCACCTGCCACCATGCGCGGCTAATTTTTTTTGTATTTTTAGTAGACACAGGGTTTCATTGTGTTAGCCAGGATGGTCTCGATCTCCTGACCTCGTGATC